ATCTCCTGCACTGGCAGGTGGGTTCTTTACTTCTGGAGCCACCTGGAAAGCCCAAATAAGAGCTGAAGAGAGGAGTTAGACTGTAGCCCACCATGCTCCTCTGTCCATGGAATTCTCCAGGCAAGAATGAACACTGGATTGAGCTGCCATTCCCTTCTACAAGGGGTTTTCCTGACCCAGGGATCAAACCCAGGTCTCCTGCATGGAAGGCAGATTCTTTATCAACGGGGCCACTAGGGAAGCCCTTGAGTAACCATTAAAAATATAAAAATATAATAAAAAAATACAGCTAGAACCCCAACAGAGGAATTAAAATGGAATTCCAAAAAATATATGTTTAACTCAAAGGAGAGTGGGAAAGGAAGAACAGAGGAAGAGTGAGCAGATAGGGAAAATAAGAAACAAACACATGGATGCAAATATAAAAGAAATATATCAACAGTTAAGTGTAAATGAACCAAAAACTAGTCAGAAGGCAGAGGTGGTCAGATTGGACAAAAAAGCAATAACAACTATGAGCTATTTATATGTGGTGCACTTTAAATACAAAGGCACAAATACGTGGCAAATAGAAAGATAGAAATACACTAGGCAAACAATATGCATAAGAAAGTGTCTCTATTATTTACCAGAGAAAATAGACGTCAGTACAAGGAAGATTGCTGGACACTTGAGAGGATAAGTATTGTTTTAATGATGAATAGGTTAATACATTAAGAAGGTAAAATAAGTTTATTATCACACTTAATAAACAGAATTTCAAAATACATGAAGCAAAAACTAACCGAACACAAGGGGAAAATGGTCAAAGCCACAGTCTTAGTTGGACACTTTAATACACTCAGTAATTAATAGCACAACTGCATCCCTTCAAAGGTGAAGGAAGTCAAAGATCCAAAAGCTATTGTCAACAACCATGACCTAATTAACATTTATAGCCAACAACTGCAGAATGCACATTTTTTCCCCCAAACATACAAGGAACATTCAACAAGTAGGCCGTGTGTTAGGGCATAAAACAAGCCTCAGTGTAGTTCGAAAGATTGACATCTTACAGGGTTTTGTTTTCTGACCATAGTGAAGGTAAGCTTGAACTGCATGATAATAAAATGACTTTGTATTAAAAATTGTGGGATGAAGCTACAGCAGTACTTCCAGGAAAATTTTTAGCTTTAAATGCTATTGTTAGAAAAGAAAGATTTCAAAAATCAAGTTATCTAAGCTTCCACATTAAGAAGGTAGAAGAAGAGCTTCCCCTGGAGGTGCAGTGGATGAGAATCTACCTGCCAGCGCAGGGGACACAGGTTCCGTCTTGTCCAGGGCGATTCCACGTGCTGTGGAGCAGTGAGGCCCACACACCACAGAGTCTGCGCTCCACAGCGAGGGAGGTCCCCACGGTGAGGACCCACGCCCCGCAGTGAAGAGTGGCCCCGGCGCAGCAGTGAAGACCAGCGCAGCCAAAGATAGGTGTAAGATGAATGAGGTTAGACAAAGGCAAAGTCAAACCCACAGTAAATGGAATGAAGGAAATGATCATGATAACCATAGAAACAAAGGAAATAGATGAAAAACCCGGTCCTTTGTAAATATCAGTAAAATTGATAAACTTCTAGCTAGGCTGATCGGGGGGAAAATGCAAAGGATATAAGTTACCAATATTGACAATAAAAAAAATTGGGGATAAATCTATATGAAGTTTAGAATTTAAAAGATATTAAACACTATTTTGATTGACTTTATGCTAATAAATTTGGCAATTTAGATGAAACAGACCAGTTTCACAAGTCACAAGATTAACACGAGATGTAGAAAATGTTAATAGCCTTTTGTCTTCCAAATTTTAACTACAAGCAAATTTTAGGCCCAGATAGCTTCACTTCTATAAACACTGAAGAAAGATGTGGTACCAATCCAACACAACCTGAATAGAGGGGATGAGAATAGCTCCCAAGTCACTTCAAAAAGTCAATTTAATTTTGATAGCAAAACCAGTAAAAGAAGTTATAAGAATAGGAAACTACAAATTAAGGGGAAGGGGACAACAGAGGACGAGATGGTTGGATGGCATCACCGACTCAATGGACATGAGTTTGAGTAAACTCTGGGAGTTGGTGATGGACAGGGAGGCCTGTCGTGCTGTGATTCACGGGGTCACAAAGAGTCGGACACGACTGAGCGACTGAACTGAACTGAACTGAATGTCCCTCAAGGATATGTAAAGATTCTTAACAAAATATTGATACGTTAAACCAAACAATGTCAAAAAAGAGTAATACATTATAACCAAGTGGGGTTTTCCCCAGGACTAATTTAGCATTAGAAAATCAATGAGTATAATTTTTGACATTAGTAGTACAAGGGAAAATCATAAAATATCAGGTACAAAAAAATCATATGACTAATGACCATTCCCAATTAAAACTCTCAGAAAACAAAATAAAGAAACTTTCTCAACATGATATGGGGCATCTATGAAAACAACACAGCTAACATGGTACTTAATGATTAAAGTCTTGTACGTCTGCTTTCAACACTTTTATTGAGAATTGTACTGAATGCCTTAGCCACTACAATGGTGATGAAAAGGAAATAAAAGGCAGATTGAAAAGGAAGAAGTAAAACTTTTATTTACGACATGATTTCTTATATGGAAAACCTTAAGGAATCTACAAAAAAAAGTTACTTGAACTAGTAGGTAAGTATTAGTCAAAGGTACTTAGCCAGGTCAAAGGACACAGAGATAATACACATACATAAATCAGTAGTATTTCTTGATACTAGCAATGAATAATTGGAAAATGAAAAAAATTTCCATTTTCAGTATCATTTAAAAGCATCAAATTCTTTGGGATTAAAAGAAAAGTTTTGGGGACGTCCCTGGTGGTCTAGTGGCTAAGACTGCTTGCTCCCAATACAGGAGGCCTGGCTTCAATCCCTGGTCAGGGAACTAGATCCTACATACTGCAGCTAAGACATGGTGCAACCAAATAAATAATTTTTTAAAAGTGTTTCTTCAAGAGGGAGATGTATGTGTAATTATGGCTGATTTGCATTGCTGTATGGTAGAAACCAACACAACACTGCAAATCAGTTTTCCCCCGATTAAAAATAAATTTTAAAAAAAGAAGTGTCCTTCTTTAAAAAGAAAAAAGTTTGCACAGATGCAGTGGGGATATAAGGAAAGAAACAAATAATTTAACTTGAGACCAGAAGTGGTCTGGAAGAATTTTCAGACACAGTGATATCTGTCCTGAGTCTTGAAAGACAAGAAACATTCAAACAATCAAACAAATGATAGTCATTCCAGGCAAAAGAAAGAACCATAAGCAAACATAAAGATAGGAATGCTGAGAAAGCATGGCATATATAAGGATCTGAAGTATTTCTATGCGATTTGCTCAAATGAGGAGGAAGAGTAATCAGGAAGACCCTAAATTATGAAGGACTCTAATTCAGCTGGTAAAGAATCCACCTGCAATGCAGGAGACCCCAGTTCGATTCCTGTTGTTGGGAAGATCCCCTGGAGAAGGGATAGGCTGCCCACTCCAGTATTCTTGCCTGGAGAGTTCCATGGACAGAGGAGCCTGGCAGGCTATATAGTCCATGCGGTCACAAAGAGTGGGACACAATTGAGGGACTTCAGCTTTTTCAAGAGTCTTACTAAGGCCTTTGTCCTTTATCCTGTACCTCATAGGGTGGGTTTTTTTTTTTTTCATTTATTTTTATTAGTTGGAGGCTAATTACCCCACAATATTGTAGTGGGTTTTGTCATACACTGATGGGTTTTAAGTGAGAGAGACATGATAATATTGTGTTTTAGGAATTGGCCATGGCAGAGGAGTTGAATTCAGACCCTTATAGCTATTTATGTTGAGTTCAGCTAGCAGTAGAGAGGCAGTGATACTCTATGGCTTCTTCTTAGGAATGAGGCATTCGGTTTCACCAAGCAATCCCTGTTCCAGGAGGAGATGCATGCCAACGTCTCGCTTGACTCACCCAGAATCCTGTGTTCAGCTTTGGTGCTGTTGACAGTGGTAACCATCACATTTGCTAAAAGAAATAGTGTGGAAACTGTGGTAGCAGCAATAGCATTGGTAGTCCAGCAGTTGCTACCTAATATACCAGAGGCAGTGGTACCCAACCAAGTGAAGAGATACCTGGAAGATAGAGCAATATTATTCCTGGCTCCTGACACAGAGGTTGTTTAAGTGCCTCCGACTAGCATCATTAGGCTTCGTGAACTGCTTAATCATTTTGCCAAGGAGTGGTAGTGAAGGTAGAAGATACTTTTGTAATTAATGTATACTTAACACTGTTAGGTTTATAACCCATATTGTATTATCCTCCATATCTGACTATAAGCTGATTATACATTGAATGAGGTTGTATATCTTAGGTCCTAACAGGAAAAGAAAGAAACAGGCCTGGGTTTGAGTGTCTTTCTCTGCTTCATGGCTAAATAATTCATAACCCTCTGAACTCTAGTTTCCCAATCTGTATAATGGAGATGATAATGCCTTCCTGATGATAAAATGCCTTCCTGATAGGGTAACTGTGAAAATTAAAGATGTATGGAAGCACTCACCATGTTCTTAGCACAAAGTAGATTCTCTTGTACTAGCTTCCTTTCTTTCACTTCTATTGTAGATTATCCTGTGTATTTGTTTTTCCAAAGGTTGCTTTTCACTTTGCCTTAAGGTTGAAATCTTCCCTACTGCTCCTCTGTCCATCATGGACCATAAACCATTTCCCTCTGTGCCCTCTGTTCTGTGCTATGGCCTTTGGGTAATTTAAGAAGGTATGGAAGTTGGCAGCTTTGACAACAGTGAAACTTTGACCAAAGAAAATAAACTAATACTTATGTTATACAAGATATGCAAATTGTCAGTGAAATGAAAAGGTAAAATAGGTTTAGTCTTAAAAGCTAAGCTTTAAGTCCTCTTAGATAAAGCTAAGAATCCCACCGCTTAACCTCTTATCTTCTCACAATCCTTCAACAGGACGTCATTGACTTAACTAGAGAAACCAGACCAAGGGCAAAGGATCGCAGTGGACTCTGTGTGATTGACCTGACAGGATCTGAAGAAGAAAATAGACCTATTGCCACTCTTGACTTGACTCTAGAACCTGTTGCTCCTTCCCAGAAAGAGCCAGCCAGTCTTCAAGCATGTGTCAGCCTCTCCAACAAAGAGATAACGGAAGGGTGGGTGGACAGAAGCTCTAGGCCTGCAGCACGGAGAATCATCAATAGTGATCCTGTGGATTTGGACCTTTTGGAAGAAACTGCATTCGAAGGTCCCCAGCTGCCCATGTCTACCAGTGGGGACTCTGTTTACCCAGTAGAACCGAACTGTAGCTCAACCATATTCAAAGGTGATCTCAGCTTCTTGGCAAACCTACAACCCTCTTCAAATATTCACTCCCTCCCCCAAACCAGCAATAATAGTAGCAGTAGCAATCAAAGGACAGCCCTGCCATGCCCACCACAAGCCTTGCCATGCCCACTGCGAGCCTCACCATGTCCACCTCGAGCCTCCTCATGCCCACCACGAGCCTTGTCATGCCCATCACTAACCATGCAGTACCAGCTACAAACTTTGCCTCGCCTGCCTCAAGAAGAGCCATGTCCTCCTCAAGACATGCCCTGCCCTCAGAATGTGCCAGGCCCCCAGCAGGATATGCCAAGTCCACCTCGTGATTCATCATGGCATCCTCAGCGCTCACCAAGCCCACCTCAACACTCACTGGGCCTACCTCAAGATGTACCAGGTCCACCTCAGAATACATCATGTCTGGAAGATGTGGCCCATTTGCAGGACATGCCACAGTCCCTGGAAGACATGCCACAGACACCACAAGATACGCCACAGTCATCAGGAGACATGCCACAGTCACCAAGAGACACGCCACCGTCCCTGGTCAGCATGCTACAGCCACCAGCAGATATGTCACAGTCACCTGTCAACACACCACCGTCACCAGGAGATGTGCCAGCATTACCAGGAGATGCTCCAGCGTTACCAGGAGATGTGCCACCGTCACCAGCAAGTGTACCACATTCATCTAGAGACGTCGCATGCTTATCAGGAAACATGCTGCATTCACCTGGGGACATGTCATGCTTGTTGGAAGACATGCCACCCACAGTTGGACCTCATTTACCAAAAATCAGGCCTGCCTCTCCCCAGAACGACATACGGAACCGTGACACCCCTATGGATGTCTCAACTCCATCCTCTCCAAGCTCCTCTCCCAGCCCACCGTCCCCAGAGTTTGAGACTTCCTTAGAGAAAATTCCTTGGACCTCTGCCACAGAAAATCCAGCCAGAAAAGAGAGATCGCTGTCAGAGCCTGTCAACCCCGGGTGTGCCCTGATGCAGGCACAGATACCACAAGGCGGATTGTACAACAGACCGTGCCTACATAGACTGAAGTACTTCTTACGCCCTCCGGTGCATCACCTCTTCTTCCAGACACTAATACCAGATAAAGACACAAGAGAGGTGAGCTGACATGCCGTCCCTTGGGGATCAAGTGTCCTTTGTATAGGCCTTGTATATGCTCAAGGGGGTCCACACATGACAGAACAGGATCTGTTGAGTTTCACATTTTTATCTTTCTCCCGTTTGTGGAACCATCCCATGTAGAATCAGGGCCGGGTTCAAACTCAGCCTCACACTTAGAAGCCAGCACTGGAGACCTCACTTTGTTGCAGCTCAGTCGCTAAGTCATGTCTGAACTTGTGACCCTACGGACTGTGGCGCCAGGCTCCTCTGTCCTCCACTGTCTCCCGAAGTTTGTTCAGATTCATGTCCATTGAGCAGGTGATGCTGTCTAACCATCTCATCTTCTGGTGCCCCTTCTCCTTCTGCCCTCAATCTTTCCCAGCATCAGGGTCTTTTCCAGTGAGTCAGCTCTTCTCATCAGGTGGCCAAAGTATTGGGAGTTTCAGCTTCAGCATCAGTCCTTCTAATGAATATTCAGGACTGATTTCCTTTAGGATTGACTGGTTTGATCTCCTTGCAGTCCAAGGGACTTTCAAGAATCTTCTCCAACACCACAGTTCAAAAGCATCAATTCTTTAGTGCTCAGCTTTCTTTGTGATCCAACTCTCACATTCATACATGACCACTGGAAAAACCATAGCTTTGACTAGACAGACCTTTGTGGGCAAAGTAATGTCTCTGCTTTTTAATATGCTGTCTAGGTTGGTCATAGCTTTTCTTCCAAGGAGCAAGCGTCTTTTAATTTCATGGCTGCAGTCACCATCTGCAGTGATTTTGGATCCCAAGAAAATAAAGTCTGTCAGTTTCCATTGTTTCCCTGTCTATCTGCCATGAAGTGATGGGAGCAGATGCCATGATCGTAGTTTTTTGAATGTTGGGTCTTAAGCCAGTCATTAGAAAGTTTAGTTGCTCAGTTGTGTCCAACTCTTTGCAACCCCATGGACAGTAGCCTACCAGGCTCCTCTGTCCATGGGATTTTCCAGGCAAGAGTACTGGAGTGGGTTGCCATTCCCTTCTCCAGAGGATCTCTCCAACCCAGGGATCAAACTTGGGTCTCCACATTGTAGGCAGACGCTTTACCATCTGAGCCACCAGGAAAGTCAAGCCAGTCATTAGGGAACTGCAACAAAAAAAAATCACATCTACTAGGACGGCTCTAATAATATTTTTATTGAAATATAGTTGGTTTACAATATCATGTTAGTTTCAAGTGTATAGCAAAGTGAGTCCATTATTTTTTCAGATTATATTCCATTATAGGTTTTCACAAGATATTGAATATAATCCCCTATATAGGGGTTTCTATGTGGAACCCCTAAAAGCTGGTTTCTAAGCTGTTTAGTAGATTCGCCCAGTGCCTTCTTAGCCAGGTTCTGTGCTGCCACTTGCCAGCAATCAGCCTGAATTCCTGAGTCTCTTTTTCTTTAGCTCTGAAATGGGCCATAGCACCTGTATCATGTCATTGTTTGGCTTAAAGGTAAACACACGGAAGCACAAAGCAACCTTTCAGCATTTATAGAAATGCTCTATAAATAGTTGTTCCCCTTAAGGAAAAGGGCTTTAGAACAATTTATAAACTTTATCTAAAATTTGTAGAGGTCCCCATTTGTAGGCAAGTAATGAATAATACAGATTCAAGATCATAAAGTGCATCACACATAAAATAGTCACCAAAGCAAGATTTTCGTTCTTCTCTTGCTCTCAAGTCTTATTACGTGCTATTTACAGTGTTGGTGTCTCAGCCGTGAGATCAGAGGAGTTACGCTTAGGTGGCTTGAGACGTAAGAAAGCTAGCTGGACTTCCTCCCTCCAAGATACTCACGGCCCTGTGCCTGGAAGGGCAGTTCTAGCCATCACTATTCTACTGTTACACATAAGCTGTCAAAATTTTGTCTAGTTGGTGTTTCAAAATTAATGCTTATTCTCAGATTTTGAATAATGCTTGCTTCCTTAGTATAAAACATCTAAAAATATACAATATTAAAAAATACTTAGCCACATGATGCTATCAGTTGGCATTTATTAATATTAATAGTTGGGTATATTTTCTTCCTTTTGGCCTTTCTGTAGGCACTTTAAGTTTTTTAATAATTGAGGATTTTAACAAAAATGTATTTATTATTTTTGTCTTTGTTGTTTATATAGAATATGAATGTAGAGGGTAGCTCTGAACTAACAGCACCATATGAAACCAACTTCTGTTGCATGACAAGGGCTTCTCTCTAAATCTGTTTCCTTATGTATGAATAGGAATAATAATAGTATGTATTTCTTAGAGTTGTAAGAATTAAGTGAGAATAAGTTAGATGTTAAAAAGATTGTTATTATAATTATTGTTATTATTCTATTCCTATATCAGTGTTTTTAGCATTTGCTTTTCTTCTGATTATTTGTCTATTACAGAAAAATTGAAAAATACAAAGGTACATACAGAGGAAAAAGCATCCATCATTTCACCACCTAGACAATGGAAAGTTTTTTCACACATTCTCAGTCTTTATATACGTACTGTTTGGGGATAGGGGCAGGGGGTGAAGCAGCTTAATATTTACTGTTGACTCAAAAAAAAATCAACAAAATGAAATTCTTCTAATAGTAAAACATATTTAAAACATCTTTCTTCATCTTTTTGTTTCAGTATCTGATACAGTATCATAACTACCCCTAAATATCTTACCACCCCCACTTCAAAATCAACTTAGGTTAGCTCTTGATTCTTGTACTTTGCTTTCTATGCTATATTTTAACACAGATGAAGTCATGTTTACGTGTAGAACTTTGAATTCTTATTTAACTTAATATAAGCATTTCCCATATCATTAGAAGTTTTTTAGATAAGGCTTTTCGATCTCAGTTTTTCTAATTATGAATATTTCAAATGCTGTCTTCAACTTATTCTAGAACCTCTTGCGTTTTTGTCTATAGAAACCTATCTTAATTTATTTATTTTTTTATTTCTACAGAACAAGGGTCAAAAATTAGAACCTATCCCTCATCGAAGATTAAGGATGGTAGCAAACACCATTGAAGAAAACTTCCCCTTGGGGACTGTGCAGTTTCTGATGGACTTTGTATCACCCCAGCACTACCCGCCCCGAGAAATTGTGGCTCACATCATCCAGAAAATCCTGCTCAGTGGCTCTGAGACTGTGGATGTTCTGAAGGAGGCCTACATGCTTCTCATGAAAATTCAACAGTATGGACCTTGGCTGTTGGCAAATCTTTTTGGGAACCTGGACTCAGGGCACAATTTTCTCTTGCCTAAGATTTATTCAACTAAAACAGTAGAGAGGGTGACAGTATATTAATATTATTTGGGTTGTAAATGACAGGAAACTCAATTCAAACTGGCTTTAACAAATGATAAAAGAGAATTTAATGACACATGTTACTAAAAACCTAGAAACCTAGGAGTAAGATGTGACTTAATTCAGCTCCAAAATGGTTACCAGTATCCATTTTTCAGCTTTACTTTGCTTCTGTTTCTAGGCTTCATATGGTGGCTTTCTTAGACACTCTTAATACAAGAGAGCATCCACTTCTTTTATAATCACACGAGAGTTCTGAAATTGAATCTTACAGGTTTTAATTGGCATAACATAAGACATGAGTCTATCTGTCATGTGAACTGTGGGACAGAATATCATGATTAGCTCAACATGCTTCTTGGGCTTCATCCCAGTCCTATTGGGTGAAAGCCACTGGGCTAAGAGTAATAAAGAGTTGATTTCTTCAAGGCAAAATTGGAGTGCTAATGCCTCCCAAAAGAAAATAGATACTAGGTAGCTAGAAAAAGAAAATGAAGTTCCACTTCCCCCAGATGACATGGGTGGGCAAGAGCACTGAGGATAGGAAGACGCCTCTCGCTTCTGTCACTTCTGTCATCTTCTATCGCTTCTGTCATCTTCTGTTGTCTTCTATCGCTTCTGTTGTCTTTTATTGCTTCTGTTGTCTTCTATCGCTTCTGCTGTCTTGTATCGTCTGTTGTCTTCTATCACGTCTGTTGTCTTCTTTCACTTTTATCGCTTCTGTTGTCTTCTATCGTCTGTTGTCTTCTATTGCGTCTGTTGTCTTCTATCACGTCTGTCGTCTTCTGTTGTCTTCTGTCGCTTCTGTCGTCGTTTATCGCTTCTGTCTTCTATCGCTTCTGTCGTCTTCTATCGCTTCTGTTGTCTTCTATCGCGTCTGTCATCTTCTGTTGTCTTCTATTGCTTCTGTCGTCTTCTGTTGTCTTCTGTCAGTTTTATCGCTTCTGTTGTCTTCTATCGCTTCTGCTGTCTTCTATCATCTGTTGTCTTCTATCGCTTCTGTTGTCTTCTATTGCTTCTATTGTCTCCTATCGCTTCTGCTGTCTTCTATCGTCTTCTGTCTTCTATCGTGTCTGTTGTCTTCTGTTGTCTTCTGTCACTTCTATCGTTGTTTATCGCTTCTGTCGTCTTCTATCGCTTCTGTCATCGTCTGTCGTCTTCTATCGCTTCTATTGTCCTCCAGATCCCATCCTTCCTTCCACTAAAATCTCCAGAATCCTAACTGCTGTCACTTGACTTTCAGGCTACATCCAGCTAATGCCAAGACGGTGGAGTGGGACTGGAAGCTGCTCGCTTATGTCATGGAGGAAGAGGTAACAACAATTTGCATGCAGAAATCTTTTGCACAGGTAGTTTTAACTAGAAACAAAAGTGACAGTAAATCTGGTAGTACGGTCTTTGCCATTATTCCTTCCTTTTACCTTTTACCCCCCTGATCCAGACCAAAATATTTCTATTGAAATGGAATGTGCTGCCTTCCGATTCAGGATTGAATATGCTCACTTATCCCTCCCCTTCTTAAGATTTCACTTAAAATAACAGTAAATGAATAGAAGAAGTTATGAACCTATGGTGCTGAAAATAAGGGGAAAGACAAAAGGCTTGAATGAAGACTGGAAAAGCTAAAGGAAACATAAAAGTGCTGACTGGTGAAGCCAGGCAGCGAAAGCTACAGGCTGGAACATGGGCTTGCCAAGGAGGGAGGGAGTCTGCCCTTTAGAACAGAGAGTTTTTGGACTTCTCATATTGGGCTTCCCTGGTGGCTCAGAGGGTAAAACGTCTGCCTGCAGTGCAGGAGACCCAGGTTTGATCCTTGGGTCGGGAAGATCCCCTGGAGAAGGAAATGGCACCCCACTCCAGTATTCTTGCCTGGAGAATCCCATGGACAGAGGGGCCTGGTGGGCTGCAGTCCATGGGGTCACAAAGAGTCAGATACGACTTCACTTTCACTTTCTTTCAGGGTAGAGTTGGTGCTGCAGAAAAAACTCTACATTCTGACCTTTAGGGATCCTCGAGCTTAATTGCCAGCTTTCTGTCTACTTACCCAAAAGAACATGGATGGAACAAATTATTATCAATTTAGAATTCTGTAGTCAGCCAAGCTATTGATTAAGTGTGAGGGTGGAATAAAGACATTTCCAGACATGTACAAGCTTGAAAAAATATTCATACACCCCATTTCATAGGTTACTTGAAGATATGCATACAAAGGATAGAGGAGAAATCAAAAAAGGAAGAGGCACAGGATCCAAAGGACACTGGACCTAATCCAGAAGAGTAAGAAAGAGAAGTCCTGAGATTACCACAAATAGTAGACCTAAAGAGTCACTCCAGATTGGAGCAAAAAAAGCACAGGGCTTTAAGAAAGGATGATGTGGGAAACACCACCAAGATGGTAGACGAGGACGCTCCAGGCCCTTGTTCCCCACTGGAGACACCAACTTAACAACAATATATGGTCTGGAATACCTTTGTGAAAACTCTAGAAACCAGTTGAGAAGTTGCAGTGCGCAGGCCAGAGCACAGACAAGAAGGGGCTCCACTGAAAGGAGCAGGAAAGTTTTTGGTATTGCTGTGTGTCCATGCGCCTCCCTGCCCAGCCTAGCACGGTGCTACTGGGAGGAAGTCTCCCGTACCCTTGGGATGCAAACCAAGGAGAGAACATCAAGTCCCGTGTTCTGGCTTGTCATGGGGATAGTTTTTGTCTCACCTGACTCAGAACACTATTGAAAACCCTGGCTTAGTTTTCTGGCTGAAAAGAAAGGTGAGCACTGCAGCATTTTAGAGCTTCAGAGAGTATGCATTTCCATAAACAGGTACTGGGGGAGCAAGAGACTGTGGGCTCTTGAGAAGAAACAAGGGCAAGCTGCTTGGGTAGTTAAGACAGATAAAAGCACACACACAGCTCAGAGAAAACACATCTCCAGAAAAGTTCTGAGAGCGCTAAGGACCTTTAGCCAGACTGATTGCTAAGGGCCCTGCCCTGCATGAACTCAGTGCATAAGGACTGGGAAAGTTGGTTTCTTTTTCAAATGTTTAAATCTCAAAAGAGCATTGCAGGTCACACAAAGAAACAGGGAAGTGTGGCCCAATCAAAAGAATGAAATAAAGTTCCAGAAAGTGACCCTAAAGAAATGCAAATCTCCGCTGCTCAAGGAGAGCAGAACACAAAACAGAGCACAAACAAAATGATGCATGGACAAAATGAGAATATTAAATTTTTAAACTTTAGATAATAATCAAACATATTCTGGACCTGAAAAGTATAATAACTGAATTGAAAAATTCACTAGAGGAGTTCAACAACAGTTTTGATCAGGCAGGAGGAAAAAATATCAGTGAACATGAAGAAAGGTCTTTGAAATCATTGAGACAGAGAAGCAAAAAGAAAAGAGTGAAGAAAATTGAGGAGCACCTGAGGGACTGTGGGGCGTCATTAAACGGGCCACATACACATTACAGGAGTTCCAGAGAAGGAAAAGAGAAGGGGGCAGAGAGCTTAACGACCAAAGAACTTCCCAAATCTGAGGAAAGAAGTAGACTTACAAATTCAAGAAGGTTAACACCAACGAGATTCACACCAAGAAACATTGTAATCAAACTGTCAAAAGTCAGACTTAAAAGCAGCAAGGAAAAAATGAATTATCACATACGAGTGAGTTTGTATAAGTCTCTCAGCAAATTCTCAGTGAAGCCATGTAGGTCAGAAGGTAATGGGATGATGGATTCAAAGTTCTAAAAGAAAAAAGCTGTCAACCAAGAATAGCATATCTGGCAAAACTTGCCTTCAAGAAATGAGTGAGCATCTGGAGAGAAGTGACACATCAATACAAGATCCTCAGTAAGATTTCTCATAGGAAATGAGGCTAGTAGATAGTGGGGTGATACATTCCTGTATCCAACAAAACTGTCCCTCAAAAATGAGGGAGAGGTAAAGATACTCCCAGAAAAACAAACGCTGCGGGAATTCATTCCCACTAGTCCTGCCCAGCAGGAAACACTGAAAGAAGTCCTGCAGGCTAAAATGAAACACTAAACAGTAACTTGAAGACATATGAATAAGTAGATGTTAGTAGAGATAAATACATGGGCAATTATAAAAACTATTGTGACAGTGATTTGTAACTCCACATTGGTTTTCTATAATGTATTAATTGACTAATACATATTTAAATTATTAATCTAAAAGCTAGTGTTATTTAACTTTGTAACTCCACATAGTGTTTTCTACATAATTTGAAAGATTGAAAAGAGCCAAAAAGAATTATTGGACCTCCCTGGTGGTCCAGTGGTTAAGAATCTGCCCGCCAATGAAGGCGATGCGGGTTCCATCCCTGGGCTGGGAAGACTCCACATGCCATGGGGCAGCTGAGCCCCTGTGTCACAACTGCTGAGCCCACGCTCTAGAGCCTGCAAGCCATAGCTCCTGAAGCCCCTGCTCCTTGGAGCCCATGCTTTGCAACAGAAGAAGTCGTCACCACAAGAAGAAGCCCATGCGTCGAAACTAGAGAGTAGCCCCCACTTGCAGCAACTGGAGAAAGCCTGAGCACAGCAGTGAAGACCCAGGGCAGCCAAAACTAAATAAATAAACCAAAAATTGTTTTAAAGAATTATTAGTTTATTTTTGGTCACACAATGTAGTTCTGTGACTTTAACTAAAACGGGTGGGAACACAGCCATAAAGACCTAAGCTTTTGTGTGTTATTGAAGTGAACCTAGTATAAATTCAAAGTATTATAATTTTAGAATGTTAAATGTAATCCCCATGGTAACCACAAGGACACTAGCTATAGAATGTACAGAAAAGGCAGTTAGAAAAGAATATAAGCATTTCATTACCTAAAAAATCAACTAAAGACAAAAGATAGTGGTGCAGGCAATGAGGGACCAAAAAGCTGTAAGACCTTTAGAAAACAAATAGAACAAGGCCAGAGTTAGGTCTCTCTTCATCAGTAAAAGGGAACCAACAGACTGTGCATGCCTGCCTGGCTTTGGTAAGGCTAGGGTCGTCACCATGTGGATCATGAGGACACCGAGACGCAGAGCAGTAAGTTAAGTAAGGAATGGGGCTGAATTTCAAAGAGATACATGAGGTCTCTGCATCACCAAAGCCCATGCTCTTTACCTGCATTAGCTGGGCTTCAGCAATTAGGATCCTTTCACCTGTAACAAAAAACCCATCTCAGCGTTGCTTAAACAATAGACTGTGCATCAGCTCATGTTTAGCAGTGGGATAAAGATCATGGTGGTTTGATCTAGCAGCTTAGCAGTCATTTTTCTGTCTGTCTCTCCAGATATACACAGCTTGGGGCCTATCCTGAGCCCGGGGTTCATCACTGAGTTTCAGTGAGAGAAAAAGACTGACTTTTTAAGCTCTAGGATTGCCTCGCTTGCCCTCTTTTGTAATAGCCTAGGCTGCTTGCTTTCTCCCACAAGCCTCGCTTTTAGACACAGACACACTTGTTGACCCATGTATGTTCCCTTGACTTAGTATTTATGAGAGCCCAGTGGTGTGTCATCCAGGAGACAGAGGAAATTCTTACTTCTCGCTTTTTCTCCCCAAGGGACAAAACCTGCCCGGGCGAGTCTTCTTTCTGCGTTATGTCGTACAGACCCTGGAAGATGATTTCCAGCAGATCCTGAGGAGGCAGCGACAGCACCTGCAGCAAGCCATTGCAAGCACCGTGCTGTCCTGCGACAAGCAGCCCCACAATGTCAGGTAAGCATTGTCTGCAGCCTGGGGTGATAGGTCCTCCAGTCCCGAGAGCGCAGCGGGCGGCTGAGACACAATGTCAGGTAAGCANTGCGACAAGCAGCCCCACAATGTCAGGTAAGCATTGTCTGCAGCCTGGGGTGATAGGTCCTCCAGTCCCGAGAGCGCAGCGGGCGGCTGAGACACAATGTCAGGTAAGCATTGTCTGCAGCCTGGGGTGATAGGTCCTCCAGTCCCGAGAGCAGCGGGCGGCTGAGACACAATGTCAGGTAAGCAGCGTCTGCAGCCTGGGGTGATAGGTCCTCCAGTCCCGAGAGCGCAGCGGGCGGCTGAGACTGTCCAGTGACTAGATAATGTAACAGGGATGGATATCATTACTATGAAAGTGAAAGTGTGAGCCACTCAATCCTGTCTGACTCTTTGCAAGCCCATGGACTCTAGCCCACCAGGCTCCTCTGTCCATGGAATTCTCCAGGTAGGAATACTGGAGTGGGTAGCCATTCCCTTCTCCAGGGGATCTTCCTGACCCAGGGATCAAACCCAGGTCTCCTGCATCGCAGGCAAATATAGACAGTCCTAGGGAAAAAACTCTGTGTACCAACTGTATGTCAGATGCCATAACTTGTGTGGTTTTTCCTCCTGAGACCATCAGACCTCCTTTAATCTATTTCAGTATTGTTCAGACAGCCTCATGAGATACCGGGAAAACATGAACTTGTGTAAAATTTCACAACTGCTATGAGCCTAAATTTATTTCCACCCCCCTGAGTAACTCAGGATAAACTTCATTTGTCACTACTGCTTTCTGAGAAATCTTTTATGATAATAGGTTACATAGAACAAGATACAATAAGGTAGCAAACATGTGTTGGTTTTTTTTTCTGTAAAATCAGGTCTAAAGCTTCTGGATGCTTCAGAGTGGGAAACTACCATATCCTTATAAAAGTGGGGGGAAATGTGGCTTCTAGGGTAGGGATCTCAGACTAGAATTTTCATCCTGGAACTACCCCCTTCTTTTGCTTCTTTTAGAAACGGTTCTCTTCAGCATTCCTTTTTTCAAAACATCACTGAGATTTTTTCAGTCATATATACATTCTCATATGTTCTTGCATATTTGTTAAGAATAGTTTTCACAGGCCATTATGGGATATTTACTATTATAATTCCTTTAATTAAAAAGGAAGGACATTTCATTATGTTTTTGAGTATCAATCAGCTGGGAAAATTGAGGGCAGAAGGAAAAGAGGGCATCAAAGGATGAGATGGCTGGATGGCTTCACCGATGGAATGGACATGAACTTGGGCAAACTTTGGGAGATGATGAGGGCTAGTGAGGCCTGGTGTGCTGCAGCCCATGGGGTCTCAAAGAGTCAGACACGACTGGGTGACTGAGCAATAACGACAATGGCTTTTTCTCCCTTAGTTTGCATGCTTCTATCCATTTCTGTGGATGTGGCATTTTATGTAAAGTTTACATGTTAATTATAGGGGGTAGAAAATCAGTAAGTAGAGAAACTACAGAGAGCACAGGATAGCGTAATTGGGTGTAAAATTGAAAAACAATAATTTAAATAGTGACAGCAGCTCTCCTGACCATTCTGCTTTGTGAGCTTAGGCATTGAATTGGGAGATGGGAGACATGAACCCAATTCAATCCGTTAACAAGTTGCTGACACTCATTTCCACCTTTCAGGGTGTAAGCCTCTCAGTATATCCAACACTATGCTCTTGAGTTTAAACGTGGGAATTTATGACCTCTAAATGCAAATAAAATACACTATTTTGTGCATAGTGAAAAAAGTCAATTCCAGCTGGAGGGAAAACAAGCTGTATTTGATTCAATAAAAAACTAAAACTAAATTGAAGTCGCTCAGTCGCGTCCGACTCTTTGTGACCCTGTGGACTGTAGCCTGCCAGGCTCCTCTGTCCATGGGATTCCCAGGCAAGAGTACTGGAGTGGGTTGCCGTTTCCTTCTCCAGGGAATCTTCTCGACCCAGGGATCAAACCTGGGTCTCGTGCATTGCAGGCAGACACTCTACCATCTGAGCCACCAGGGAAGCCCTTTGATTCAATAAGAGATGGCTGTTAGATTGAGGTTGTGGTCCATGAATATGTGCATATATTTATCAAAACATCAAAGGATACAACTGTGCTATGACCTTTAGTTGTCAGAGAAGAAGTTATTCCTGGGTTGTAATCCTCAGCTTCGCGCAAATAAAATTTCCGTTTTCTGTCTTAAAATTAAAAAAAAACTTGTTAAACAAAAACCAGTGTGTAATTTATTTTATATAAGTTATACCTCAAAGATAAGCTTTCAAAAGAGAGTGGTGGTAAGTCAGTCTCCCTTAAGGGATTTTCTTTTCTTTTTAACTGTGCTTACAAAGAGTAATCTGGTTCTACACAATTTAAGAAATATTGTTGTCCCCAGATGACCTCACCCACATTTTCTTTTCCCACAGGGGTAACTGCTTTCAACTCTTTCATTTAAGAGATTCCTTGGATTTAACTTCTTCATGGCTGAATACTTGCTTGTGTTGCAAATTATTGATGTTTCACTGTTCAGTTCAGTTCAGTCACTCAGTCGTGTCCCACTCTTTGCGACCCCATGGACTGCAGCATGCCAGCTCTCCCTGTCCACCACCAACTCCCAGAGTTTACTCAAACTCATGTCCATTGAGTCAGTGATGCCATCCAACCGTCTCATCCTCTGTCATCCCCTTCTCTTCCCACCTTCAGTCTTTCCCAGCATCAGGGTCTTTTCAAATGAGTCATTTCTTTGCATGAGGTGGCCAAAGTACTGGTTTCAGCTTCAACATCAGTCCTTCCAGTGAACACTCAGGACTGATCTCCTTTAGGATGGACTGGTTGGATCTCCTCGCAGTCCACTGTTAGCTATAATCTATTGGCTCCCCACCTGAAAGATGAGGAGTTAGCTCTTTTTCCTCTCTCCCTCCTCTCACACACACACACACACACACACACACACTTCCCAGCCCCCATACCATAATATAGCTATATCAGAATTCTGTTTAGATCAGTATGTGATGTTCTGATCACTATAACTGTGTGCTAGTCAGAGTTGAGCCCAGTACTAAACTATGATTACTTTTCCTTCTCATAACTTTTTCTTTTCTGTAGAGTTAATAATTGCCTCATTTTTAGTTTCCTCCTATTCTTTTGCATATCAGAAGTCAGCCCCAAATTATCTGCCATTTGATTTAAATACCCTGTCAAGATGTTTGTTCACACTTACGAGGTTCTTCTTCTTGAAGGTCTGTTGTGGAGTACTTTGACCTCCTTTAACCTGGATTGGCTGTCCTCTTTGCCAAGTCTCTGTCATAAATGTGAAATTCTCTTCACCTGTTCCCAGTGTTGGATATGTTTCATATCTTTTCTTTTTTGGTTTACTCCCTTGTTTTGATGGATCAGTCTCCAGTAGCTTCTTAGAAAGGTATGTGGGAAGTAAAATTTTTGAGCTTTTATATGTCTGAAAATATCTTTATCTTCCACACAATGATTCATGTGAGTATAGGTATTTAGGTTACAAACAACTTTTCTACAGAATATTAAAGGAAATTTTCTGAATTTTCCATTGTCTTCTAGCTTCTTGCTGTTAAGAAGCCATAGGCTACTCTGATTACTGATTCTTTGTATGAGCCTTGATTTTTTCCTCTGGATGTTTGCAGACTCTTCTTTTTGCCCAATATACTTGTTTTAGGTCTATATTCATCTGTTATGCTGGGCATTCAGTGGGCCATTTCATATCCTTCATTTCTGGAAAATAGAGTTTTCTTTTTCTTTTTTTTTTTTCATTTATTTTTATTAGTTGGAGGCTAATTACTTTACAACATTGCAGTGGTTTTTGTCATACATTGAAATGAATTAGCCATGGAGTTACATGTATTCCCCATCCTGGTCCCCCCTCCCACCTCCCTCTCTGCCCGATCCCTCTGGGTCTTCCCAGTGCACCAGGCCCGAGCACTTGTCTCATGCATCCAACCTGGGCTGGTGATCTGTCTCACCCTAGATAATATACATGTTTCGATGCTGTTCTCTTGAAACATCCCACCCTCGCCTTCTCCCACAGAGTCCAAAAGTCTGTTCTATACCTCTGTGTCTCTTTTTCTGTTTTGCATATAGGGTTATTGTTACCATCTTTCTAAATTCCATATATATGTGTTAGTATACTGTAATGGTCTTTATCTTCCTGAAAATAGAGTTTTCATTGCTGTTACCATATTTTTCATTTCCAAAAGCTCTTTTACTTTTTCTTTAAATGTTCCTTTTTAAAATTAATAAATAGGAATCTGTTCTTGTCTTTTTCTTTCATGGATCTGTGTCTTTTCATGTCTTTGATGTTACTAATGATAGTTTTTGTTATTTTTCTGTATAATGTCTGTTTTATCCAAGTTGCTTTTTTGAGGAGAGAGGAGGGTTGGTTTGGGGTTTTTTCCTTTATCTCTTATGCTGGAATATGTCCATAGATGTCTGGATAAATCTGGTGCTCTATTCATGTTTAAGGGCATCTCAAAAGCTGATGGAAGCTCTGAGTACAGGTGGGGACTTGTCATTTCTGAGTTTTCCTGCAGGTGGAACCGGCTTCTCATTTCTTAGAAAATACCTTGTCAGTGACTTTAGATCTTTCCTCTTGGGCTGGATAGGTTTTCCAGAAAAGACTTCAGATCTCCTCCGTGAAGGATAGAGACCAGGATGCCAGGTTTTTGAAAGTAGGTGTGGGAAGATGGCAAGGATCTCTGCACTGAGCATGCACAGTTTCACTCAACGCCCCTGTTTTTGCTTTGATGCCTTTTGTTTCCCATCTGTGCCTGATATCCTAGTCCAGAGACCCTATTTATCTCTCCACAGAGTTAACCTGTAGTCTCCAGGGTTGGAAAAGAAGATCTAGGACTCTAAAAGTTTCTTAAACAGATTATAAACTGTTCTATTTATTTTTTTAATTTACCCTCTTTTATCCTAACTTCATGGAAACCTTGTACTGCCTTTTAAATAGGATTAAATAGGATTACTCTTCTCTACTGGTGGCTTAGTATTCAGCTTCCTCAATTCTGCCACGTCAGTTCAAATGTATCCCTTTGCCAAAGGTATAGAGTTAGTTTAAACATCATCTAAATATGACATTTGCCTTATTTACTTGGCTAATTGGTTACTCTGAATTTTGTAATCAGCATCTCCTACCCCACCCCTTAAATCAAAGGATAGGACCTTGACAATTACCTACATCTAACCATCTATCCCAGGGATGGGGGAGCCTGGTGGGCTGCCATCTATGGGGTCACACAGGGTTGGACATGACTGAATTGACTTAGCAGCAGCAGCAACCATCTATCCATCCTGTCACCCACTTTTGCACCTTTTTGCATCCAAAGTAATTGGCATCCCAAATATTCATCATTTCCCTTCTTTATGTAGTTTATTGCATCTGTATGTGTTCCTGTGAAGTATATATTTTTATTCTATTTCCTTTTAGCTGTATATAAAAGAGTATCATGCTATATATAATCAATTGGTACTTTTATTTCACTTAATGTTATAGTGTACTAAAATTTGTCCATATTGTTACCTATCCACTGTAGCTTATTCATTTCCACTACCATATAATATTCTGTTTTGTGAAATACTAATTTTCCTTTCAACTTCCAGATTTTTACTGTTATTATCTGCCTTTTCTTCCCTTCTTTGTGGATTTTTAAAAAATTATTTACTATTAGTTAAATTTTAGAAGGCAACAAAAGTAGATGTGGACTGTATCAGAAGCTTTTATCTTACTAATGCTGAGCGCCTACACCCTGTACAAGGTATGACTGCACTGAACATACCGTAAACTTTGGTTATTAGGCTAATAATAGGAAGCCAACGAGGTCGTCTAGTCCAGCTTTCTGCCTTGTCAAGGAATGTTCCTGCTCGGGAAGCCACAGATAGTACTCTCTAACCTTGGATATACCTTTCAATAATGCTAACTTAAAGAAAAATGTTGACATTTTACTCATCTTTTGTAACTTCCTGCAACTAAATGTAGGGTTTCCATTAGGCTTGTAAAATATTCAAAATAGCCTCAGTGCCCCTTTCTGTTGCCTTTAGGGAAATCTAGGTGTCTAGGAATCCATGTTAAAGCTGCAGTTCTGAGCACGATAACAGTAAGACAGAAGTTTAAACTTTCTTTTTTATCTTTTTCTCCATTGCAGGGATGTCATCAAGTGGCTGATCAGAGCAGTAACTGAAGACAGATTAATCCAGTCCCCAAATGAGAATCAGACCTCTCCAGGAAAAGGAATCTTGAAGACCAGCAGTAGCCACCCTTCTTCCCAACCTAACCTGACAAAGAATGCCAATCAGCTGTAAGGAGCAGGCGGACGTTCTCTTCCCTGGAGCTCTGGGGTTTACTGTGTTGGAGACTAGCACCACTCTCTACGAGCAGTTTCCCCAAAATTAACAGCTCTTGGGAAATAGGCTGATTCTTACTAAAAACCACCTTAGTTTGACTAAAGGCTAAGTTCCTAATTCCAGAGGTGAAACAAAAAGCAGATGCTCTCCCCCTAGATGAATAGGACTAAACTACGTGAATTCACCAGCTGAAGTGGAACAAAAGCTGAACAACAATGTGCTCCCCTTCCTAGATTCCACGAGACGATACAGGATCACAGCCACTCACCACTTCATCTGCCCGCTGACAGATGAGGAGTCATGGGTAGTGGGTGTGCTAATAGCCGCTGGTCCTCGCGGGCCTGGGTCTCTCTGCTCCGGTCCTGGGAGAGTGGCAGTTGAAGCCTGCAGGCTGTAGCAGCAATGGTTCAGACCAGATCAGGTCCCATTCCCTCAGACTGTACCGGAAAGAAATCCCTGGCATTTCTCTTATGGGACTGAAAGTGGTCTTGGCATTTTGGGGGAAATGCCAGGATTTTGTGGGCTGGAGCTGCCCTTGTACAAGTAACCTGCTATTCTATGTCAATTATGTTTAAAAAGCCAGTTAAGCTTGATATTTCAAATATAGCATTTGTGCCTAAATTCACAGAGCTATAATTTAGTTGCACTGACCGGATTCTTATATAAGTACTATGGATTTTAACTAATCTAGGAGACAATCGTATATCTAAAGGGAGACAGTTTTGGAACAATGAACCATTTGCTTTGGCAGAGTGGGGAAGGACCTAAAGTAGGAAAATATTATGTCAGAACCCCAGTATATAGACCAAGAGAGAGGCGGACACTGTTCCCTTAGAGAAAGCTAATATAATAATAGTAATTATAAGTAGATATTAGAAAAATAAAATTAGAGCCCTCAAAAATCAATTTATCATGATCTTAACAACAGTAGGCACTGCTGTTTACCATTAACTAGTACCTGTATGCCAGATCTCTTACTCAGCAGAACTTTCTGAAACAGTGGTGTTATTGCCCCTTTTTGAGATGCGAGAGTTTTGCCTCAGAGCAGTTTAGTGACTTGTCAGAAACTGAACAGCTTGTCACTGCAGAGCCAGAGTCTGGTCTGACTCTGGTCTGCCTCTTGTGTCCTGGCTGCAGATGTGCTGCAAACAGAGCCCTTCTTTGCCTCACAAATAACAGTGCACATTAGAAAGTAATTAGCCTCCAGCTAATAAAAATAATTGGGAAAAAAAATAAATGAGACATTGAAAAGAAAAGGCTAGCTTCAGGCGAGGCTCACCTCTTGAGGGGTTGCTCAGATTCCTTCTTTCAACCTGGGTCTCTCCCACAGTTAGGTCTGATGGGAGAGAGGGTCATGTTTCACCAGTTGAAATTCTGACACTGAACTTAGGGAAAGATTGTTGTAAAGGAACCAGTAACAGGAGAAAACTATGTAGTAAATTTGCATTTTCTCCTATCAAAGAAATTCAGATAATTGTTAGTCATTCTGGAGCTGTTTCTTCATCTGTAGAATATAGAGGCTTTAGGTTAGATATCCTTAAAGTTCTCTAGATCCTTAAGATTATGTGTTCCTAGGGACTTCCTTGGCAGTCCAGTTGTTGGGATGCTATGCTTCCCAATGCAGGGGCAGATTGAGGAAGGTTCTAGAGGTTTGATCCCTGGTCAGGAAACTAAGATCCCACTTGCCTCCTGGCATGGCCAAAATTTTTTAAAAAATAAATAGATAAGCAACTATATTTTTAAAAAGATTATATGTTTCTATTTTTGAATTTAAAAGCAGCTTGCTTTTGCAGTGCAACCCCAGGTTCTGAGAGGTTGATAGTATGATCTGGCAAGAGGGATTCAGGTAGGTGAAATTGCTAATAAAAGCATGCTGATGCTTGAGTAGTTCTCCCTGACCTAGTGTGTGCTTTACAAGAGCCTTTAGTACACCGGCGGGTACCTCATCCCAGCCAGCAGGAACCCTCCCGCTCATTTGTGTTCTGTGTTCTGGACTCAGGATTGTATGCCAGCTCCAGAGGATGCTGTCTATCGCTGTTGAGGTGGACAGGACCCCCACATGCAGCTCCAATAAAATTGCCGAAATGATGTTTGGGTTTGTGCTGGACATTCCTGAGAGGAGTCAGAGGTGAGTCTTAGTTTTGTTTTATTTTTTGATCTGGGAACATGATTTCAAAAGAAAATTCCAAACAGTAGTTAAATTAGGGAGAAAAAAGGTAGAGAAATAGTTCCTGTCTCTTTAAGCTTTTGAAAGAAATAGTTTCTCAACCAATTATTATTTGCAACTAAAGCATAATTTCTTAGGAAGAGGCAGGTTACCTTAAATGCAGCCTAAATTTCCCACTTTATCCATTTGTCTAATAACTTTATTTATCCCTCGAGTTTTCAGCTGTTAAGCACTACCATCTTCTCTGACCCTCAGCCATAGAGCCTGGTATAAATGTTTACTAAAGTCTTGTTGGGTGAAATAGGCCTGTCCGTCTGAGGGGAAGAAGAGTTGATCCAAGAATGAATACAGTTGTACCTGTAAAATGAGCCCAGTTATTAGGAATAAGGAATTCACTTTCTCTAAACATTAATTAGTGAAGCATTCCATTAGGAAGAGACAAAGAAATAAGAGTTGGCTAGGACCAATGATTCCTCCTTTGAACCAGTAATTTTAGAACCCAAAGGAGGGAAAATAAGCTATCGTGACTGTAATTTCGTGAACAGTTGCTGGAACAGGACTCACCAGGGGAGAGCCGCCGTAGGGTGGCGACCCTTGAGGGAGTCTCTGTCAGCTCCTCTCTGCCTCCCACCCCACCCCTAAGCTCCCAGGTGGTGGCCAAGACTACTCTTGTACGTTTCTGGTTCCTCTGTTAGAAGAAAATGTCATTCCAAATAGAATTGTAGTAAAGATTTAGTTAAACTATCCTGCTAAGATTAAGAAACATTTATTGGATCCGTACAATGCACCAATCATTGTTACATTAATTATCCCATGTTTTTGTAAAGCTTTATAATGGTGTTCCCATTTAACAAATGAGAAAAATACTCTAAATAGTTAAATAACTAGCCAAAGTTTACATAGCTAATCAGATTTAGAATCCAGATTTAAACCTAGGACTTCCTACTTCCAAGGTCAGTTCAAAGAAGGCAGTACTTACAGTGGTCAGCCAGAAGGAAGCATTCATAAATATCATGCTTGCTCTATCACTTTGTTAGTATTTCATTTGGACCCAGCTTCCATACTGTTTATTTATTTATGCCCAGATTTTAGTGAGAGATGGGAAATCTAAGGAGTAGGTAACTGTAAATAAATTTAAACTAAACATAGACAAAAATAGCTTAAATGAAACCTGGTCCTAATTTAAAACTTTTCAGGAAGGGAAAATTTGCAACCACCCCAAATTATACTAGAAGATAGTTTATATGGCCTTACCTTTTAATCTTTTAAAGTTTATGTATAGTTTACATTCTGTTAAATGATATAAACTAATTTACATAGGTATCATTCCGAAGTTTTGACAAAAGTAAAACTTATGTAACCTATTATTTTCCAGTGGCTCACTGATAGTGGTAGAAATCCTGAAGCCTTGCTGAATTCTGTTATTTTAGTAGGAATTTTTCTCTGATTTCCTTAGAATTTTCTACCTACACAATATATTGTCTGCAAATGAAAAATTTAATCTCTTCCTTTCCAATCTGTATACCTTTTCCTTCTTCATCTTACCCTATTGCAAGGGCTGATACCTCCAATAGAATGTTGGAGAAGTGACAAGAACAGATATCCTTGCCTTGTTCCTGATCTTAGAGGAAAAATATTCAGTCTTTTTAAGTATAATATTAGCTGTGGATGTTTCATAGGTGCCCATTGTCAGATTGAGAAGGCCTCCTTCTTTGTCTAAGATATTCCGTGTTTTATGAAGAATAGGTATTTGAATATATAAAATGTATTTTGTTCATCTATTGAAATAATCATAGTTTTTCTTCCCTCATTCCACTGATATGATGAATTACATTGATTGATTTCTTCATATTATAACCAACCTTGCATTCCTGGAATAAAAAACCCTACTTGATTGTGATATATTATTCTTTTCTATTGACAGATTCAACTTGCTAATATTTTGTTAAGGGCTTTTTCATCTATGTTTACTAGGGATAGTAATTTTATTTTTGTATAATGTCCAACTTCACTTATAAAGAAATGTATATAAAAAATAAATGTAAATTAAAACTACACTGAGATACTATTTCCAACCTATACAAATAATAAAAATTTTAAAGTACTATAAAACACTCTGTTAGTGAAGGTTTGAGAAAGCAGGTAGGTGCCCATACCTTCCTGGTGGTAATGCAAAATGGTACAAGCGTTATGGTTGGTGGGAGGCAGGGGTGTGTGTGGTGGGATTTTACAGTATCTAACAAAGCTAAATGTACATTACCTCTTGACCCAGAAAAATCATGTGTAGAAGTTTATCCTAAAGATACACATTTAACAATATGAAAATATATATGCAAGAAAGGATATTCACAACAGCATGTTTATAATTTCAAAATACTAGAAACAACCCAAATTCCCATACATAGGACAGTGGTTGAAAGTCTGTGGTACGTCTACACAATGAAGATGTAGCTATAAAAAAGTAAATATTAAAAATAGGAGCAAAATTTTAATGAACTGTTTCCCAAAATATATTGTTAAGTAAACAAAGCAAAATACATAGAGTATGCACAATAAATATACATATAAGAATGAGGAATTTTTTAATATACATGATTATAATTGTAAAAAAAGAAAGTTAAGATAAATGCAGACCCAATCAAATTGCTTACATATATGGATAGATGGGCTGGAAAGGAGCTAGGGTGCTAGACTGGAGTGATAATGACCTTAATAGTGGTATTGGTAGTATAGTACTCCCTGAGTATACTTCTTTGTATAGTTATAAGTTTTAGACTTTCAGAACCATGTTAATGTTTTATATACTCAAAAAAAAATCAGTGAGGAAGTTGGAGGGTAGCCTAACAAACAATACAAACAGACAGAAATTAACCTGTGTTTTAAATGAATTATTATTCAATTAAATGGGGCTGAGGGGAGAGAGTTGGGGGGAGGAAAAACCCAAGCAACTTTTTCTTTACTTTTTATTTTTAAATAAAAGTTCACAGGAAGTTGCAAAAACTGGTAGGAGCGGCGCTCTGTACCCTCGCTTTCTCCCCTAGTGACTGCCTCTTGCATGACTGTAACATATGACAAAGAAGAAAGCGACATTGGCATGATCTGTAGCACATGCTCAGATTTCACCCAGTTCATCCAGATTGCACTCATCATGTGCAGTTCTAAGCAGTTTTATCGCATGTGTAGCTTCATATAATCACCAAGACAATCAACATATGCAGAACTGTTCCATCACCACAAAGATCCCTTGTACTATCCTTTTACGATAACTATTCATCTTCCCCAGCGCATCCAAGTAAGTTAAAATGCAGTATTTGAACTAAATACCCTCAGGCTAAAGACAAACAAATGAAGTGTAAATAAATATTAAACTCTAGTTAGTATATTTCTTTTTCACAGGAAGTATTAACAATTTAAACACTATCTTATATGTATTCTAGGATTAAACACTTAAATGTATTGTGGATAGTGAGAGCCAAGTTTCTCACTGTCAGAGAAGAGAGTTGCACATATGAAAAGGGGAGAGGATAGAAGGAACGCTGTGGTGCTGGATTGGATTTGGAGGCATCAATATGAGCTTGTGGTTTCTAATAAATAGGTAGATACAGGAATAAATATAGATGTGTGAGCATTCATACATGTATTATGTGTGTGTATGTGTGGATTTGTACATTTCTTTCCTACCTCTACCCACTAAGAGAGCATAGGAACAGCTACACCCTAGGAGCAGTGCGCAGACCTTTGTTCCTAAATACTAGTTTACACTGAAAGGAACCAGAGTTTGTTAAGGAATGCCTGATTCCACAGCTGAGATAGCATGTAAAACGAGCCTAGAACATATTGATCCAAAAAGTGAGGAAATGTTCAAAGAACGTTCAAAACATGACAAAAAAAAGCTTAAAGAGCTTCCACTGACTAAATCTGAGATAATTTGAGTGTCAAAATAAATATTGACAGTAAAAGACTATAAACTGTTGTGTAGAATAATAACCCATGATTCTAATACTGATAGGAAGGAAGAGAAGGGACTCTCTTCCTTATAGTAGGAAGCCAACTAATAAATATAAGAACAAATGATGAATTCGGGGGGAAAATACCATTTGGCATCCATCATAATAAGAATTAATTCAGGTATGACCAGATACTAAAATGATGAAATTTTGTGGAGTACCAAAATATTTGCATAGTCTGAAAGTATATTCTCACAAGATATCAATTATGAAGTGAAAAATTACTATGGAGTCAAGTAATCAAAATTAACACCAGCAGTGGGGCAAACTGACATCATATGCTCCTTGATAGGATGCACGAAACATTTTTGTAGTCCTCTTGCCGAAAAATGCATAACCTCCATCAAATCATGGATAAATATCAGAGAAATTCCCAATGAGAAATGTTCTACGAAAAAAACTGAACTGCACTTTTCCAAAATGTCAGTGTCATAAAAGACAAAGCAAGAATGCGGAACTGTTCCAGACCAAAGGACACTGAAAAAAACAGGCAACTGAATGCGGTGCGTAACCTGTGATTTTCTTTTGCTATTAATAGCAACATTAGGACAATGAAAAGAATCTGATTAAAGTCTACGGTTAATATAATACTGTTGCATTAAGATTGATTTTCTGATTTTTTTTTTTTTTTTGGTCATTGTACTTGGTTACTTTAGAAAATGTTCTTGTTTTTGACCTTTTATAACCCTACCCACTCCCCTCCCACCCCACCCCTGGCAACTACTTATCTATTTTCCATTTTTATAATTAGATCATTTCAAGATATTATATAAGTGGAATCATACAGTAGGTAACCTTTTGGGATTGGCTTTTTCACTTAGCATAGATCTCTTGGGATTCATTCAGGTTGTGGTATCTTTTTATTGCTGAATAGTATTCCATAGTATGGGTATACCTTTGGTATTTTTTTTTAAACCATTTTACGCATTGAAGGGTATCTGTGTTGCTTCCAATTTGGGGCTATTATGAATAAAGCTTTTATAAATATTCATGTACAAATTTTTGAATAAACATAAATCTTCATTTCTCTGGAATAAATGCCAAAGAGTGCAATTTTTGCATTATATGTTGGTTGTTAGTTGCTCAGTCGTGTCTGACTCTTTGCGATCCCATGTACTATAGCCCACCAGGCTCCTCTGTCCATGGGATTCTCCCAGCAAGAATACTGGAGTGGGTTGCCATTCCCTTCTCCAGGGGATATTCCTGACCCAGGGATCAAACCTGGGTCTCCCACATTGCAGGCAGATTCTTTACCATCCACACTCGTGTGTGTGTGTGTGTGTGTGTGTGTGTGTTTGAGAGAGACCTAATCCTGTCCTGGCACAGAGCTCTTTTGGAGTTTTTTAAGTGATGAGAGTAATAAAGTTATCTTTTGTTCCATTAATGAGGTATCTCTCAGAAAACCACTTGGGGACCTGAAGGATGGGGGCCAGTTGCCAGGGGAACCGTGTGACTAGAGAGCGGAACTTTCCGTTCCAGCTCTCCACTGCCCTCCCTCCTCCTGCTCCACCCCCTCCTCCCTGGAAGGGACAGGGGCTGGAGGTTGAGTTTAGTTACCAATGGTCACTGACTTAATCAGCCATGCCTGTCTAATGCAGCTTCCTTGAAAACCCCAAAGGACTAGGTCCAGAGAGCTTCCAGGTTGGTAAATAGGTGGAGATTGCCTGTAGAGTGGTGTACCCAGAGAGCACGGAAGTGCCTCACCCTTTCCCCGTACCTTACACATACATCTCTTTCATTTGGCTGTTCTTGAGTTACACCTTTTGTAATAAACTGGTAATCTAGTAAGCAAAGGGTTTATCTGAGTTCTGTAAGCCGCTGTAGCAGATTAATCAAAGCTCAGTGGGGGTCCTGGGAACCTTCCATCTGTAGCTGTGTGGTTCAGAAGCGCACAGCTTGACAACCTGGACTTTGGGTTGGTATCTAAAGAGGGAATGCGAGGGCAGCCTTTAGGACTGAGCCCTTAACCTGCAGAATCTGACGCTATGGTAAATAGTGTCAAAACTGGGTTAATCGCTTAGTGTCGTTGGGAAAAACACACATCAGATCCACGCAGTTACCATGTTTGGTGTTCTTTCTTGACTATCCAAGTTCCATTTGGTATTATTTCTCTTCCATGTAAAGAACTTAACTTCTAGAATCTGACGCTATGGTAAATAGTGTCAAAACTGGGTTAATCGCTTAGTGTTATTGGAAAAAACACACATCAGATCCACACAGTTACCATGTTTGGTGTTCTTTCTTGACTATCCAAGTTCCATTTGGTATTGTTTCTCTTCCATGTAAAGAACTTAACTTCTTTTAATATTTTTTATACTGCAAGTCTACTTGTAATGCATTCTTTGAGCTTTTGTTTATTTTGTTTATTTGTTATCTCACCTTCATATATGAATAGTGTTTTAACTTGATATAAATTCTAGATTGCTAGGTATTTTTACTTATTTTAAAGATGCTCCGCTTTCTTCTGGCTTGCTCATGAGAAGTCATTAGAACTTCTCACTGTTGTTCCCTTCTATGTCGTGTGCCCCTTTTCCCTCTGGCCCCTGCTTTTTTTTCCTTCTACTTTGTTATGGTGACTAGTTGTAGTCTCCATTATGTTTACCCTGCTTGGGGTTTGAGATTCTTGAATCTGTGAGTTGATATTTTTGATCAAATTTTGAAATATCTTGGGCATTTAAAAAAACTTTTTTGGCCTGAATTCTCACCATCTTCTGGGATTTCGAGTACATATATGCTAGGCTGTGTCTCACTGTTCCACAGAATATTACGACTCTGGTGTTTTCTACTATTGTTTGTTTGTTTTGTTTTGTTTGACTTGTCTTTTTTTCTCTCTCTGTTTCACTTTGGATAGTCTTCATGTTCCTTGATCTTTTCTTTTCTTTTTTGTGCTGCCTAATTTGTTGTGAAGCCTATCCGATGGATTTTTTTTTTTTTAATTTCAGATATTATATCTTTCAGAACAAGAGCTTCCATTTGGTTCATCCGTAGAGCATCCATTTCTCTTTGCTAAGAGTCCCCATCTAGTCACTCATATATCTTGGTTAGTTGGTGGTTTGGTTAATCTTGAGCATATTTTTAACAGCTGTTCTAAAGTCCTTGTCTATTAATTCCAACATTTGTGTCATCAGTCTGTTTCTATGGGCAGAAACAGACCCTAGTTATGGATTCATTTTCCTGTTTTTTCCCTCGTCTAGTAACTTTTTATTGTATGCCTAACATTATGAATGGTCCGTTGTTGAGTCTGAAATTTGCTGACTTCCTTTAAAGAATATTGACTTTCATTCTGACAGACAGTGATTTCTTAGCAGATTAGCTTTCTTCTTTTGAAGCTTGTTTCTAGGACTTGTAAGGGTATTCTGAAGCAGCCTTTCTTAAGAGACTAATGTTCTATAGCTTAGTCTTCTGGGGTTGCACCCGAATGGCCAACATGTTCAATGAGATTTCTCCTCTAGTTTATTGAAACCTCATCTCTCTCAACACTGGGCACTTTCCTGAATCCCCATTCATCTCACAGCCCTCACTAGCTGTTCTACCCCAGGCTTTGGCTATCTCCCTGTCCATGTGCCAAGGGGGACCATTACAGATATTCCCGCCACCTCAGCTTCCCTGACCTCCAGTCTCTGCTCTGCCCAGCAGATCCACTGCTTTCTGTTTAGGACCCATACTTTCTCCTTGGCCTTAGTTAGAAAGTGCCCCCAGCAGGAAATCTGGTGTAAACATGGAGTTCACCACCTTTGTTTCCCTTTCTCTCAAGAACAATAGTCATTTGTAGTAGTTTATCCAATGCCTGAAAATAGTTATTTTATATATTTTGTTCAGGTTTATAATTGTTGATAAAAGAGTAAATCTAACACCAGATATACTTGTTAAGGCTGGACCTGGAAGTTTAGCCTTCCTCTCTATCTTGTTTTTAAAATTTGAATTTGAATTGCTATAGATAATTGTACTTCCATTTCCTACTATTTCCAATACATTAAAATTACTTTCTTGTCCTTTGTATATTTCTGGGTTTGCCATCTTGGATTATAAAACCCAGGACAAATGTAGGCTCTGGAGTCAAAACTGAAAGAGAAAATACAGTTTGAAATTAAAAGTTATTGAACAGGACAACTGTCTGTGAAAGTCATACACTAAATGCAGAGTAGAAATTAGACTTTAAAAGAAATTGGAGAATATCTTATGAATGTAATAATTTGTCCTTTGTATTAAAGAAAATTTGACAGAGAAGGTATAGAATGGTACTAAAAAATACATTAAAGAGATTGAATGGTGTAAAGTAATTAGCCTCCAACTAATAAAAATTAAAAAAATAAAAAATAAAAAAATAAAAAAATTAAAAAATAAAAAAAAAATAAATAAATAATGAAAGTAATGATTGTAAACCACTGTCTAAAATAAGAACCCTTGAAAGCATATTAATAAAGAAAAAAAAAAAGAGATTGAATGGGTTTTCATAAATATTTTAGACTTTTTTTAAGCTTTAGAATGGTAAGAAGCAAAGGTTTTAAAAGTATTTATTTTGCTTTTTTAATTTCGCTTTTACACTAATAACACGTGTCTGGTGGAACAGCAAAAGGAAAAGGAAGGAGAATATAAAAACAAAGAGGTACTTTGTTATTTATCATTGTTATAAGCAGCAGTGGCACAAAGAGCCCCCTATTTTTCCAAATGTTGCCCCACTGCAAAGGGGCGGCTGTAGAAGAAAGAACCCTGATGTCTGGGGCAGGTTCTGTTGCTGCCATCTCCTCAGAAACTGCTCTGATGTGCAGACCTGGCAAGAACCACCAACCAAACCTTCAGGCAACAGCCTTTAGGCAGTCCAGAGATGCACCCTGTGCCTCTGAGATCCATCGCGTTCTGCGGGGGAGCCGACACTGCATTTAGAACAGTGAGTGGGACTCACCTTCCCAAAGCTCAGCCCTTGTTTTACAGCTCTCTTCTCAGGCCTCTGAGTGTGCTCCCGCCCACCCTCGCTGGCCAGGTCCCTCGGGGACTCCTCAGAAATGGAAGAAGGCCTCGGCGCCCCAGATGTGTGTCTTTTCTCCTTGGTTGTCACCGTGTGTTTCCTGGCATTGCAGTGCTGCTTACCGTGGGCCTTCTTTACTCCCCTTGGCCGCTGTCACCTGCGCCACCGCCCCCATCAGGCTGCTTCCAGCCCCTGACCACGTGTGCCCTCCCGTGCACGTCACGGGAGCACCGCTGCACTGTGTGTACACCTGCCCTGCGCTTCAGGTTCCTGTTGCACACTTCTTCCCCTGTTCAACCATCAGCTTTTCGAGAGCAATACCCTCTTTTATTTCTCTTAATAATATTCTTCATTTGTGCCAATTATGGCACTTTATGGCCATTCAGAAACATTTAATCTCATGATTAATTCTCTTGGTTAGAGTACGCTGTAACTCTTCTTTAAGTGTCCTAAACTAGTCTTTTGCTTTCAGACGTCAAGGAGTTCCCACCCCCCCGCCCCCGGTCTGGCAGGTGTCAATTCATGAACGAATCCGTTTGTGCCCTGTCCACAGGCTTTGTGATTTTGCAGGCCTTCACTGTGTTCCTTCTTAGCCTTCTCTGGTTTAGGCAAAGTTTAGAGCATTCAGGGAGAACTGTGGTATATGTTCCTTGAAACAATAGTTGCGATGGTGCACTCTCTCTCTTCTCCATGCAGAGAGATGTTCTTTACTACCATGGAAAGCCACCTTCTACGCTGCAAAGTGCTGGAAATCATATTTCTCCACAGCTGTGAGACGCCCACCCGCCTCCCCTTGTCTCTGGCCCAGGCCCTCTATTTCCTGAACAATTCCACATCACTGCTCAAGTGTCAGGTATGTTTTCCCTACTTCAGTCCAGGCCTAGAACACCTTTTCCTTAATCCTGGAGCTTTTTATAAAAGTTACTTAAAAACTGTATACACCTCTTACTGAGGAAAGAATTTATTACCAACTGCTTTTACTATCTCTGCAGTCGGATAAAACCCAGTGGCAGAAATGGGATGAGCTGGTCGAGCACCTGCAGTTTCTGTTGTCCAGTTACCAGCATGTTTTAAGAGGTAAGGAGCATTTGGGCACAAACCAGGTGGTGTGGGAGTCTGGCAGTGGACATTATTATGAATTAAAGTCACATAAGGGACTCTATTAAGTTCAGTAAATCATTATTCCTTGGTGTAACTGCAAGAAATGAGAAAGGACATAGCTGGAATCGCTGCTCTGAAACAGAGGAATTCACTTAGTGTTTTTGTTACGGCAGATGCTACAGTGCTCCTCACAGTCCTTAGGGTTGCGTGGGTAAATGAAAGTCATCCTAACATGAGCAAGATTCAGTAATGTCCTGACAGCCCTGGCAGCTTTCCCTGGCCCATCACTGCAGAATCTTTGTTGGGTCTACTGCTCACTGACTTGGATGTTGTAAACATCTGTCAGTATGATACAAATACACAGAAAATCAGTGGCAAGGTAAAAATGTACATCTTGCAAACGATGTAAGACTGTGAAAGTGGCTCTGCCCCAGTCACAGGCAAAGCCAGTAATCCCCTGAGGATCTGGGAGAGTTAGACTGATTAGTCAACTAACCCTCGGGGGCGAATATAGACAAGGATGGTGGTATAGGTGCTTCAAATAAGAGTGATTTGATCAGCCAAGGGTTGATGAGGCCCCTAGGAAGACTAACGTGGTTATAAATTACATAAGGAAAGATAGTGAATTTACAGGGGAGAAAACTGACAGTCCTCTTGTGATACCCTGAGCACACCTCATCACTTAGGTAGTGTTCTTGCCAAAAATTCATGACCTGAATCTAATCAGAAGGAAACATCAGACAAACCCAGATTGAAGGGCCTTTTACAAACTAACTGGCCTGTACTTTCAAAAGTCCCAATATCTTAAAAACAAAGGAAGAATGTTGCTTCCTGACCTGCATACAGATTTCTCAGGAGGCAGGGAAGGTGATCTGGTATTCCCATCTCTTTCAGAATTTCCCACAGTTTGCTGTGATTCACACAGTCAAAGGCTTTAGCATAGTCAATGAATCAGAAGTAGATGTTTTTCTGTAATTCTCTTGCCTTTTCTATGATCCAACAGATGTCAGCAATTTGATCTCTGGTTCCTCTGCCTTTTCCAAATCCAGCTTGTATATCTGGAAGTTCTTAGTTTGCATACTGTTGAAGCTTAGCCTGAAGGATTTTGAGCATTACCTTGCTAGCATGTGAAGTGAGCTCAATTGTAAGATAGTTTGAACATTCTTTGGCATTGCCTTTCTTTGGGATTGGAATGAAAACTGATCTTTTCCAGTCCTGTGGCCACTGCTGAGTTTTCCAAATTTGCTGGCATATTGAGTGCAGCATCATCTTTCAGGATTTAAGATAGCTCAGCTGGAATTCCATCACCTCTACTAGCTTTGTTCATAGTAATGCTTCCTAAGGCCCACTTGGATTCACACTGCAGGATACCTGGCTCTAAGTGAGTGACCACACCATCATGGTTATCTGGGTCGTTAACACCTTTTTTGTACAGTTCTTCTGTGTATTCTTGCCACCTCTTTTTAATCTCTTCTGCTTCTTTTAGGTCCTTGCTATTTCTGCCCTTTATTCTGTCCTTAATATATATATATGTATATATATATTGCATATATATGTGTGTGTGTATATATATATATACACACACCTATATACACACATACATGATCTACCTGCTACCTGCCATGATCATATTGAGGTTGATTTTAGCTCAGTAATGCTCTTGGGAAGATAAGATGGTCCGTACAGTCTCTTGTGCCTGGAATTGAGGAAGGTATTACAGAAAGATTAAAAAAAACTAAAAGCACCAAACTTAATGTAGAAGGTCTGGGTTTGAATCCCAGTTCCATCACCTAGTCACCTTCTCTGCATTGGGCAGCTCATTTTATATCTCTAGACCTCAGTTTCTTCCTTCTGTAGAATGGGGGTGATAATACGTAACTTGCCAAGACTAATTGCTAATAGGCATGAAATAAAGCAGAAGGTGCTCAGTCACGTTAGCTGGCTCTCAGGCTGCCTGTTGCCTGGCCAGGAGGATGCTGCAAGGGTCCTCTCTGTTTCAGACGCTTGTAACTAAAGCATAACAGAGCTCCGTCAGGGCCGTGACATGTGGCTCTGTGGTTTGTGCTGTTTTTAACATGCTCAAAGAAAGGTACGTGTCCTTCTAAGAACAAAGCCCCAAGGCAAATTCCATGTGTCCTCAGCCTCACTGAGGTTTATGTAATTGTTTCTTTTGGAGATCTAGCAGAAAGTTTAATATTAAAGCAGCTTGGTTTTGTTTAAAGTTCACCTTTAATACTTGTTGTTCGTTTCTGTTTTGTTTCCCAGGGAATATACCTGGGTCATGGGCAATAGTAATTTAAGGTGGACATGGGATCTACTTTTATTACAGAATATTCTCTTCTGCCTTGAATAAGGGAGAGGAAGCTCTCAGACCAGTGTATACTAACCAAGAATAAATGGGGTGTTCAATCCTATTTTATCCTTACCATCCTTTTCAGCTTCTTTGGAAAAGAGTTAAGAAGGAGAAGAAATATTTAGAACCAGCAATTTGAAAATAGTGTCCTGCAAAGAACAGAACTGAATGGTTCCCTGAAATAGTCAGTGTCTTTATCAGGAGGCATTTTACTGCAACGGCTCCTTAGTCATCTCTGCCCTGTTCAAGTGGGCGGAGGATGTCATTGAGTGCGTTTTGAGGTCAGCCAGAGTTGTCCAATGGGCTTCCCAGGTGGCGCAGCAGATAAAGAATCCCCCTGCAATTCAGGAAGCACAGGTTCGATCCCTGGGTGGAGAAGATCCCCTGGAGGAGGGCATGGCAACCCACTGCAGTATTCTTGCCTGGGGAATCGCGTGGACAGAGGAGCCTGGCGGGCTGCAGTCCGTGGGGTCGCTAAGAGCCAGACGTGACTGAGCGACTGAGCACGCACAGAGAGTTGTCCAGCTCCAGGGGCGGGGGAGGAAAGAAAGAGACTGGGGAGTCCACGTTTGCCCTTTGTTTAGAACTTCTAAGGAGGAAGAGAGGAAGGGGCATAGATAAATTCACATACACTGGCTTATCTAACCCAGTAAGCTTGTGAGATGAGTGCCAACCCCCTTTCACGTATGGGCAAACAAAAGCTGAGAGGAAGGCACATGCAGAGCCAGGATTCAAACTGAGGTCTGTTGCCAAAGTCTGTGTACGGTGGAAACACACTGGAGGAGATTAATATTCTGTGAAATCCCGGATGAGATTAGATGAGGTCCTAAGGAATTTCTGATGCCCACTTCCTAAACTCTCTATATACATGGTTAAATTACTCTCATACTGACCCTTGACCTTGGGGAGCAATGTATCTTGAACCCCCCACATTTTTTAAATGTTCCCGTAGAGGGCACAGCAGCCCCAGAGAGGTGGATGCTGGGCTGTCACCTGAGCTGAGGGAAGCGAGCCCCCACACCCCAGTTTCACAGCCGTGAAACTCAAGTCCGAGTCTCAGCAGAATTACGAGTTGCCATCTGCTGTGAGTCCTCCTGATGCATGTGAGTAATTAGAATATACTTTAAAGCTATGAATCTAGGAATTTAAACATATGGAATTTAAATGAACAAAATGCTTTTCCTGAATTTCACTCTGGGCCACTGAGGGTGATGCGGAAGTCAGACACCTGTCCATTCCAAAGAGAGTCTCACACAAGCCTTCCTGCAAGGGGCCTCACCCACAGAGGGGAGAAGAGCAGACTCAGGCACCATCAGTTCATTTGTACATTCCTCCAGACAACAAATATTTACCCAGCGCCGCCTCTGTGCCTGGCTCATTGGGAAAACTTCAGTGTCTAAGACCAGCGTGGCCCCTGCCCTCCTAGAGCTTAACTGTCTGGTGAAGTGATTGGCTATAAACAAACCATCACACTAGTAACATAATTTCAATGAAAATAAATGCTGTGATGGGAAAAAGTAGGACTTACATTGTTTATGGAAGAACTCAGGAAGGCCTCCCTAAAGGAGGAATACTCAGACTAAAATGTGAAGTACTGGTATTAGCCAGGCAAATAGGGAGGGCAAAGTTTCCCAGAAAGAAGAAACAGCATATCCAGGGACCTTGAGGCCAGAAGCTACTTAATAAGTCCAAGGAACATAGAACAGACTAGTAGGACTAGGATTCAGTGAGCAAGGGGAGAGCAGCAGGAAACATGACCTAGACTCCTAAACAGGAGTGGGCGCGAAGGGCCCTCCAGTTAGCGAGCTCATTCACCTTGGTTCCAGAGTGAAGGGAACCCAGCAAAACGCCTCGTGTGTGGCAGACAGCTTGGCCGAGGACTCGAGAGGTTGGGGAGGGTGATGGTGACGAGGGCGTGGGTGATGCCGTGGGGTCCCAGTGGTGGAGCAGAAGCACTCTGAAGGATGTTGGGGCTGAAGATGACACCCAGGGTTCCGCCAGGGCACTGGCAGGGCAGTGTGTGGAAGAGCTGCAGAGAAGGGCTCCACGGGACTGTTAGATGGGAGGTCCTCGTGATGATGACCCTGACAAATGATCATCGCTAGACCTAGTATTGATCCAGGACCTAGTAACAGCACTACCAGCCCCAGTATCTTGAGGCAGGCCTTGTGCCACATAAGCCCTTTGCATAAACTGCCTCACACAACAATCCCAAGAGCCTCTGCAGTGAGAACTCTCGTCCCTGCTGAAGCATGAAGTCCAAGGCCCCGCTGGCTGGGCCGGGATGGTTCAAGTCCACTGGCCAGGACTTCCTCCCCTTGGGCGGTGGCTCGGTGGGCGCTGCTGACCTTCGCTTCTCTGAATTTCCTGTATTGACTCTGAGTTCCTCTTGCTCCCAAGTCTCCCATCCCTCTCTCTGCAGTCAGTTCTTTCTGTTATTTCACAGTCATTCTCCTGTTTTTCAGAGTAGCACATGCTTTAAGAAAACCAGATTCTGCTAAGAGGATTCTGTCCCCTGTGGCCATGCTTCCCAGGAGCAGACTAAAGTATTGCACATGTCACTGCTTAAAACCCTTCACACCCCTCCTTTTGCTTGTGGAGAAGACAAACTCCACATTGGTCTGTGAGCCAGGCTGCCTGCCAGTCTCTTCTAGTCCTGTTTTCCTTCTTACTCCCCAGTTCTGACCTCTAGTTTTCCAATCAAGCTTTTCCTGTATCATGGCATTTGCACTTTTTCTCGCTACATGGACTGCTTTTCCCCTAGACTGCTTTTCCATAAGACTTTGGCATGCTTACCTCCTTCTCATCCTTTGGGACTCAACTAAGACACCCTCCCCAACTAGAATGCACCGCTTCCCTTGTATCCTCAATGTTCCTGTTATCACAGCACCCAGTTTGTTTGGTTGCACTCACCAAAGCCACAACTGTTTCTGCTGACTGGTTCACTGTCAGGCTTCGTGCGGCTGGAATGTCAGTCCGTGAGGGCTGGGCCCAGGTCTCTGATCCCACCGTCTCCCAGAGCCTGGCCCTGTCCCAGAGGCAGGGTAGGCGCTCACTGTGAACGTTGGTTAAATGTGGAAGGGCCCCTACCATGCATCTCAGTGCAGCTGTGCCTCCTGTTCCCAGACTTTCTGGATATTCTACAATCTGTTTAGTACACTTTTTTTTCCAGTTGATTCTGTTTCCCAAATTTCTAGACCCTGTAGTTCAGTCCTTCTAGGAACCCTGTTAATGAGGGTGCCGTTACCCCCTTTTATAAATGAGATGGAGAAAATGACGCTGCGCGGTCTCTGGTGCAGCTGGGGCTCAAAAGGCCCGCAGGGCCCTCCCGCTGCCCTGTGTGCAGCCAGGACTGGACCTCAGTGGGACTGTGTGCCTCAGTCCCACACGCTGCCAGAGCCCTGCTGGGACTGAGCCATGGCTTCATAATGCCTGCTTTTAGGAGTTTTTACTTTTCCCGGCATTTTAGTTTTGGACCTACAGAAAGGTTTACAGAGCAGTACGATGTACACTCATATAACCTTTGCCTTGATTCAGAAGCTGTTAACGTTTTGCCATATTTGGCTTATCTGTTGATCCATCCACATGCTTTTTTTTGCTGAACCAGTTAAGAGTAAGTTGCGCTATCATAATTCTTCATGCTTAAATACTTCAGCTTAAGAATATTCTCCTACATGCCATTATTCACTATGCCACTGATTTTATCCTTGATAGAATGTTATCTAATATGTGCCAGTAATATCCTTGACGGGTGTTTAGTTTTGCTTTGGGTCGGGATTCAGGCAAACATCACACATTGTACTTGGTTGGTATGCGCTTCGGCCTCCTGTCATGTAACACAGCTGCCAGCCTTTACTTGTCTCTCGTGATGGGACATTTTTGAAGAGTCCAGGTCAGTTATTTCATAGAACACTGCACAATTGGGGTTGTCTAGTTATTCTCGCATGATCAGCAAGAACACAGAAGAGATGAGGGTGTCCACCCCTTCAAAAGGCAGTAACATCAGTTTGGTCTCATTGATGTTAAGTTGGACCATTTGGTCAAGGCGTGTCTATGAGAATTCTCTATTGTTGTCTTCCCAGAGGGTAAAACTTTGAGACTCAGTATCCTTTTCAGCCTTTCATTTGCTGAACTACTGAACTGATTTAGTAGATTGAAAAATGGTCCCTTTCTAGTTATGTATTCCTTCTACATTTCTTAACTGGCCTTTTGGTAAAAATGACCTTTCCCTTCTCCCTGCACTCATTCTTATTTACTGTGGATTTGGAACATTTTAAAATTCAGTGTGTTATAGTCCCATTTTGGGGGCCATTATTTACCATCATATTGTTCAAAATGTGGCCAACAAGACCTCTCTTACATGTCCCCATTAGTTTCTAAGCATTCCCTTACTTTCTTATAAGAAGAGTTCCAGGTTCACCTTGTAACTTCCTTGCCATGATCCTAAAATCAGCCTTTTTGCCAAGAGCTCTGGTATCGTTTAGTGGGGAGTGGGAAATAGTATTTAGAAACCAAGATCTAGGTGCTAAGTACGCTGATTGCTACTGGGACAGCCATCAGTTATTATTGCTTCTAGGCCCTTTCTGACAAGAGCTAGTAAATTATGTAATTAAAAAAAAAAAAACAAGTTCATACTGAAACCTGTTTCCACTTTCATAGAATTCTTCCTCTTCCTGTTCCTTAACTCAATCTTTTCTCCCACAGTGAGAACCCTTACTTTATTCTCAACAACACGAGTATATTTATCCATTTGGTCTATCCTGCAATACATACAAAATGGATTCTTTTAAATAGAATTACAATAAACCAAAATCACAACAAACCACGTAAATTTTAATATTTCTTTGCAATTCTTTTCCAAGAATAGTTTTCTGATTATATCCATTTGAAATAGTTTCATTATTTAATATAGGTTCGTTGTCTAAATCAACAAAGGAAAAAGAACTAAAAGCAAGGCTTTTTTTTTTAAATACTAAAACCTGAGGTCAGAGAGAACCAGAACAAAGGACCTTTCAGAAATGGGCCTTTGACTTGTAGCCTAGTCACTCATCAACAAATCTTTGCCTAGACCCTACCTACCAAAATTCCCTTCCCCAGTCACAGAGGTATGGAAAGTCGTTTGGAACAGCGCCACTGACTTTTCCCTCCTGCAGAGCACTTGCGGAGCTCAGTGATCGACCGGAAAGACTTGATAATCAAGAGAGTCAAGCCCAAACCCCAGCAGGGAGACGACATCTCCGTGCTGGACGTGGAGCAGCAGATCGAGGCCTTCCGCAGCCGCCTGGGCCACGTGCTGGGGGAGCCGCTCGTCCCGCAGCTGCAGGACAAGGTGCATCTCCTCAAGCTCCTGCTCTTCTTTGCTGCAGACCTGAACCCCGACTCGGAGGCCTCCCCATAGGCCCGGAGCAGCCCAAGGTCATCCGAGGCCCTGGACACCAAGAATACCTCCTGAACGCCACCTCCAGCTGCTTGGAGGTCCCAGAAGTATAGAAACTAGTTTAAAATCTAACAGGACCAAACCTACCTTATTTATCTGTAGGCTATGATAACTTTCTAACTCTTTAGTAGACATCTTTAACAACCCTGTCCTAGCCTCTTCTCAGATATGACTTAAATACATACGGTGTATATATTTTTTAATAAATTATTTATGTATACCTTTTTTGAAACAGGTAGTACTGTATGCACTATATGTTTAACATTTCCATTCAGGATGTGAAAAAAAGAATCCATGTGCTGAACAAATTCTACACATCAATGTTACGTCATTCAAGGTACTGAGAACCGGTTTCGAAAGAGAAATGTTTGTCTCCCTAATGGAAAACAAACATCCTATATTGGACCTGTGATATTGCCTATGAATTTGTGGCCAGTCTACTAAGACCTAATGTAATGAAGGGGGATATAAACAAAAGTATTGAGTGTGCTGCAAAAAAACTGATGTTAAAAGGATACAATAAAAAGGCAATGGTGTTTCAAAACATCAAGTTTATCATGCTTAGGTTTCATGACTGAGTAGGCAGAATGGAATAACTTAATGAAAAAAAACTTCCATCTACATTTGAGAAAGTAGTAAGGATTTTTATTGTCAAAACAAGTAAGAGATACAAGCATAACAGAAGACACAAATAAATTAATTCTGATCATTTGAGACTCCAGGGTGCCTCTGGGGGAAGGTCAGCTCAGCTCCTTGAGTAGACACAATAACGTCCAAAGCAAAAGACAGCAGGAATGGGAGACAGCGTTGAAGACAGTGGTTGTACATGTACACAGTGAAGAGAAGTGAAAACGTGGCTTCCCCAGTTCCTTTCCTCAGTGAGGTACATGTTTACAAAGGTATGAGGCTCATTTGAGGGGAAAATGATTGCAGACAGAAATATTTTAATTCTTCCACCTCCCAGGAAAAAAATTTTCAAGCCCTAGCCTGAACAAGAAAATCAAAATAAGAGTGACACTAGTTTCATATGAACCTCAAGACTATATCCAAACCGCAGTTGCCACCTCTTTTTTTAAAAAGTTTAACATCCATTTATCTATAGCAAGCCAGTAGACTGAATTTTCTCCTTAGGAAGTTTCCAACCAAATGGAAGTTAAATTAATCTCACTTTAAAGTGCAACAAAGGATATGTTAAGACTAGTGTTTGTTCTGTGACACGCAGAAGAGAAGCACCCCTCCCGCAGCACGGGCCCCAGAGGTCCCAGAGGAAGGGCTGGCTGCGGAACTCAGGGGCCCGTGAGGTCCCCCAGAATGCGAGGAGGCTGGTGCCAGCACAAACGGGGGGTCCCTGCCGGGCTGGCTCCAAGCTGCACCCACATCTCCAGCGGGTCAAGGGTTCCCTAATAGCAGACCGGAGTACCCAGCGCCAGCACAGCCGCGAGGGCCGAAGCCGCCTGCACTCGTCCGCGGACGTCCCTACGCCGTGGTCTGTCCATGCGCATCTGGACAGTGCTGAAGGAATCCCGAAGCCTTGGTTTTGGAACATTGCAGACAGTCACCTAGTAAGCGGTGGCCCAGTTCTAGGGAGGTCCCCATACATCACTGCTCAAGTTTAGTCTAAAGCTAGAGCAATACAAAAATGGCTTTTCCACACAAGGATAAGCTTTGCACTAATGTTTCGCAAAAACCAATTATGTCTCCTCCTAGCCTCAGTTTGATTTTCACAAAGACAAAACTTTTCCTATGTCATAGCCACGGTAAAGGGAGCTGGGCTCGACACCCTCAATGCAGCGTTCCTGGGACAGAAAGCTCTAGAAGCCAGTGGGTGTGAGAACATTCAGGTCGCGGGGCTTGAGGCTGTGGGCCCGCGGCAGCTGTCTCGTCCCTTCCGTTGCTGGGATGTCCATCTTGGGCGGCTTTGACGCTGCTGGCTCCTCTGCCCTTCGGGCAGCTTGTGCGCGCATCACTTCCATTGGAGAAGGCTTCTGAGCTCCTCGGTAGGCTTGGATGGCAAAGCCTCCTGCAGAAGCAAACCACAGAGCAGACGATCTCAAGATCTGCCAGCGGCTACCAGCATACGTGGTCAAACGCCTGCCACGCTGCCTTCTTTAGTGAAGAGGGTACCTTACCTGACTCAGACTTCTGGAGCGATCTTGGTCCAAAGAGGCTCCATTTATCGGTCGAACTTCTGTCTTTATCCCCGCTTCCAGAATCCATGGTGCTAAGACTGGGGCCAGGTAAGGCTGTGGAAGAACCAGAAGTGAACCAGCCTCTGGAAGAGAAAGGATAAGATGCCAGGTAACGCATCCTTTTGCTACAACTCTAGAAGTGGTCCCTGCTGAGGCCAGGGACCACCAGCTCCCCCTCCTGACTCGGAGGCCACGGGCTGAGCTCCCGGTGTGGAGGGGACACTACCCTTTCTTAGCCCCAGCTGCTGGGGTCCGGGGAGGGGCTCACCTGGTCTTCTGCTTAGGAGAGGCCTGGGGACTGCTGCTCGGGGTGGACTGCGTGGAGGCTGGCTGCCTCTCCTCTCTTGCTGTCTCTCCACTCTGGAGCTTTAGTTTCTGCTCACATGGGTTAAGGAGAGAGACTTTGTAAAAATCAGAGCAAATACAAAACAGCTAAGTTAGGGTGTAAACAACCTGGTTCACACTAACTTCATGAAAAGAAAATGTTAACAGGTGCAGTCATCTGGATGACAGGACAGATATCCTTCAGGCTCTGCCATCTAGATAAAAGTCCATCTTTTAAAAACATGTTTTCATCAAATACATCTCAAGCATCTCTGTACTAACTTCACACCAGAGCTTCTGACTTCCGCACATTTACAGCCAGTAAGTGGAGGAGCCAGCAGCCCCGCAGCAGGTCCTCCTCAGCTCCCCTCCCTGCTCTCCTACGCCCAGCCTCAGCACGCCACTCTCCAGCTCAACGCTCCCTGTGCCACCTCGCCCTCCCGTACCCAGTCACCCCGGTGCTCTGGGTGCAGTAAACGGGCGCCTAACAACAGACCAGCAGTTTCCCGGGGGAGACAAGCGCCTGGGGCAAGGCTTCCACACGTCTCCACGCCCCGTGGCCAGTACGCCAACGCCCAGGCTACGCTTCAAGTGCCCATGTGTGAATCCTCTCCATCCTCAGCACATGACACTATGTGAGCTGGCATCTCAGCCATCCTCATGTTCTACTCCTATGGCCAAGATGCAGATGATGTGCCAGATTCAGTTCCATGATTACATGGGGGGAACTGTGCAACTGAATTCAGACTGACACTTAACCCTGGAGAGTTCTCAGTGTCAGAGGCTGACCGTGCTCCTCTCCAGAAGCATCTGTCTTGTCAGAGCTTCAGCTGGACACCAAGCCAACCCTGACTCCCAGACAGCACGGTTTTAAGTGTAGTGTGCAAAAATCATCCGGATGCTCATTACAAAATGCAACCATCGTCTACAGCGTCTTCTATCTCTGCCACAGGCCACTAACTCTACATCATTCCTCCTCCTATATATTGTGTATCATGCCTCCGAGTAAGCCCCTGCAGGAGCCAGATTCTCAGAAGATCTTGGAATATGAGAAAGGATCCACAGGGAATAGGGTATCCAGAGATTTGAGCTCAAATACTATGGATGTTTAAATACATAACCCCAGACCCCTGTTTCTTCATTTACAAAACACTGGTAATAGTGTCTATGTCAGAGGATTAAGAAGATGAAGTGAATATGAGTGCTTGATAAATCTTAAAAGCAGCATTAATTATAAAGTGATAGTTCCTGAAAGAAAATCATTTTATTTATACAATTATTTGGTCATTGTTAACCTTACTGAAGGGGCTTCCTAGTGATAAAGAATCTGCCCGCCAATGCAGGAGATGTGGGTTCAATCCCTGGCTCTGGAGAAGAAAAGGACAACCCACTCAACAGTATTCTTGGGAAATATTGGGAAATTCTCCTGGGAAATCCCATGGACAGAGGAGCCTGGTGGGCTACAGTCCATGGGGTCATAACGAGTCAGACATGACTTAGTGACTAAACAACAAAAGCCTTACTGACAATTCATTCGTTCCAGTTTTAAAAATGAAAGAGCAAAAACATCCCAATTCTACACTTTAATTTTTAATTTAATTTTTAAAAATTAAATTAGAACCTGAGACTCCTCCCCAGCCAGCGTTACCTCTGCTGAGGCTGCCCAACTCTTTCTCACCCTCGGTCGCTCACTAGTACCCAGAGTGACCCACATTGGCTCTGTTCATCATGTGTTCACACGGATGAGCCCAGAATCTCATCTGACCCTCCAACCCAAGCTTTATAGACAGATAAGCAGAAACGATGAGGTTAACAGCCCAGCTAAAGTGCGACCACTTTCCAAGGGGACTACACGAGCTCTAAATTCCTCATTCAAGTCTCTCCCCACCACTCTCCTCAACCCCCAACTAGCTGAGCTGGTAACTTGTGAACCTCAGCCAGGCTCAGCCATAAATGATGAGGGTTTGGTGTGTGTTCCATCCTAGGAAACAAGCTTACGTGGAGTGCTTCTGCCACTCGAAGGTACTTGGTCTCCTCAGTGGTGAGGCCCTTGTGAGGGGTGTAGCCAGCATCTCGCAGCCCTGCCTGTTGCTCAAAACGCTGAATGTTCTCCTGGGTCTGTTCTGGGGACAGAGGAGATACAGTCACGGCCACCCCCTCTCCCATCGAGACCTGGGGGAGATCAGCAGATATCCACTGTTCTCCTCGGTGCAAGAGCTCACACTGGCCGTCTGAGAGGGGATCCCCCAGACAGGCGTCGTAGCAGCAACTCTGAATCTCCCACAAAGCCTCTCTGAGCAGAAGGAAGCCTCCCTGACACCAGCTAAAGAGCAGGCTACTCCTAAAGAGACAGCCAGACGACTCCAGGAAACTCTCCTTACCGTCCTCTCATCTGTACCCCAGGACATTTCCTGTGTATTAATATTTAGAAATGCAACACGGAAAAGGCAGCTGACATGCAGAAACAGGGCAAGCTCTCCAATACAAAGCTTTCTCGGACAGACTCGCCACCCTCCCTAAGACCTCTGCCCAGAGAGAAACCAGGCCACATTTAGGCCAGATACCACCAGGGTAGCAATTAGATCCAAACTGGAGAGAATGTGCCTTGAACTAGCCAAGGTCTACTGATGCAGTGTTTCCCACGTCCGTGTGCAACTGTCCACCACAGTGCCGGGCACGGCATCTGATGACCTCATCATCAGTGTCAGCGATACCTTGGACAGCAGTGGGGTTTTTGCTTAATCTGTACAATCTACATAATACACCCCTCATGGATGAGAATGTGGCAGCTGTGGACCAAAAGTCCAGATGCCACAGGTCCTTTATGACTTAGTTCTTCCCCTTCAAAGGGACTAGTTTATTTCCATCAGGAATAGAAGCAAGGGAAAACATACACACACACTAATGTATAAAGATGTTTTCTAATCTTGCCAGGCAGTCACCTGAAAATTTTAAAAGCAGGAAAGGACTTCTTAATGAATACAATACACTAATTTAAATGCAGCTTGTTTAAAAAAAATTTTTAAGACTATAGCAACATCAAAAGTTCATGGCAGTATTAACTGGGAAAAATAAAATGGTTTATTATACCTGCAATTATATAAAAATATGCTTACAGGTGGACACAACTAAGCCAAATATAAGTATCTGAGTTATAATAATATATATGATGATGTTTTATGCTGTTGGAAAGCTGTGTTTTCAATAAAGAAGTTCTACTGCACAGAAGAACAATGACTAAGCTTCTTAACACTGCCAGGACACATTCTCAGGGTTGCAAAATACAAGCAGTAGCTGCTGATTCAAACGGTGCATTTCTGTGTGAATAAGAAAAAAGTCCAGGTAAGAGTTTGGACTTTTGGTTCCTGAGCGAGTTCTTCAGGAATTGCCCAAGGCTAACTGACACCCTCCCAGAGCACATAAACAGGGCTTCCGACTTCCAAGATGCCCTGCCCTGGCAGAGGCTGCTGCTGACAAGCAGAACTCTGTATACTTCCCACAGCAACTAGAAGGACCCTCCAGAACCACTGAGTTTAGATAACCTGTTAGGATTTTTTTTAATTCAAGCTATCTTGTTTCTAGTCTTATCAGGACCATAAATCACATATTCTTAAGACTAAAGACTGGGGCCTCAAGGTCCAGGAAAAAGGAACAACTCTGAGCCATTTCATTTAAAAAAGTTAAGTGCAGGGCAGGCGGGCCATGCCTCGGTGGGTCTCCTTCTCTAGCAGAGCCCGAGACAGCCGCAGCCGCCGCCGCCACCCCTGGCCACCAAGCGCTGTGCTGTCTAACCCTGCCGCCTGCTGCCGGCCAGACCCCCACCTCGTGGAGGGGGCAGAGGCGCCACAGTTGAGACAACTTGCCGGAGGCCACGCTGAGGCACAGGGGGAACAAGGCTGGAGCGGAGCGCGGCGGGAGCGCCCCTGAACGAGGCGCGCCGCTGAGCGCTGGGTAAACCTCCCACCTCAAGGCAGCTTCAGCACTGGTACCGCCAGAGCAGCCAGGCTGAGCCGGCGGGGCTGGTGAGGAACTGCGGCAGGCTGCAGGAACCCCGCTCTCCCCCGCCCCCCTGGACTCTATTCCCAGGGCGCAGAGGCTTACTTGTGATCAAAGAGCTCATGATGACGTGGGTAGCTTTGGCCTTCACCACAGGGGCCTTCTCACTGTCGCTGGCCGACGGCGGGGCCGGGGCACGCGGGGAGACGCTGGGCTCTCCCTCCTCCACCTGCTCAAGATGGGGAGGGGCGCGTGAGCCACACACGGCGGTCAGCCTCAGCCCCTCCTCCGGGGCGGTCAGATCCATGAGGACATACGGGAAAGGGGCTATCGTCCCCACCCGGTTAGATATAGGATGCACAGCGACAACACATGTGACATGATGCAAAGAGCCTGTATTTATATATTCATAGATGCGGGAGGGCCAGAATTTGCAGCTCTGGGCTTTACTGTCGTCCCAGACTGTGTCCAATACACTGTATTACCATGGCCCTAAGGATGCAGAAGAAACACCTGTTACTAACACCTGTTGACTGTGTTCCAAGTACCATGCCTGCTTTGGCTTAATTAATCACTGCATTTACTAAGTAGTTCTGAAACTTTGCCAAGGACCAGAATCCACTGGAGGGCTTGTTAAACAGACTGTTGGGCCCCACCCGGAGGGGATTCAGTAGGTCTGGGTTGTGGCTCAAGAATTTTATTTCCAACAAATCCCCAAGGGATGCCGATGCTGCAGGTGCCTGAGGCCACCCTTTCTGGGCCACGGCTCTAAAGGCCCAATATTGGCCTGTTAAAACAAACTGGAAAGTCTACACAGCCCGTCATCTTTAACGTGAGAGCTGGAGCACGCTGCCCTCCTTCATCTCAGCACTGGACCCGGTAGTCAGGGCTGACTGGAAGCAAAGAAGTGGGTTTCCTCTTTGTTCTCTGCTTCTCCAAAGGAACTGAGAAGAAAGATGGTCAGAAAGGAGGGGAGTAGAAGGAAGCACTGAAATATCGTATCCCTGTTACAAAACAGGATTTAAACTTCTCAGCTACGATCTAATGAACTCAAGTAAAACCTAAACCTCTGCTTCCTCACTTGGAGGACAGCTGAGGGTGGGGACGCGGATGCCTAGGGTGTGGAGAGTTAGGACCAGTGTAAGCATGCATGCAGTCGGGCTGGGTTCCCGGTGGACAGCGGCTGTTCCAAACGTCAGCTGTCCCAGCTAGTGCGCAGTCGAAGACTGGACGCACATTCTTTGCCTCGTGAAGCAAGTAGGAGCCTTCACAGATGAAGAGGGTGGTGGGCCACCTTCCAAGCCCTAAGCTCCATCAGGAGCCGCCCTGGTTTTCTGCTCCAGTCCCGCGAGTCTGCTGCTTTGGCGTCCCAGGCAGGATGCCAGGGCCCTTTTCTCCTGGTACTGCCAGCATGTGTTACACAGAAGTCTCCACCTCAACAACTGACTGGGTCCAATTTTACTGGATGACTAATGTAGGCAATGTGCCCTGGAGCTGCAGGGGGCTCCTTCATGGCGACTGCAACAGGCACCCCATCCTGAGAGCCTGACGGGGTGGGCGGGGCACCCTCAAAGAAAGGAAGACTCAGATACGGCTCTACCGAGAGGGGTGGGCTGGGAGCCGCAGTCACAGCGTCGGCTCCACAGCAAAGACGGGACAAGCCTCCCCGCTGTCTCTTCTCTGACCCCACAGCAGCGCCGTGACAACTTTCATCTCTCAGTATTTACTGACACGCTGGCTCGGGGGTGGGGCACAGGCTGTTAGGGGCTCACCCCCGGGGCTGCTTCCACGGGGGCTTCACCTGCCCTCAGGACCCGAGCGGTCACAGACTCCGTGGTGCTGCGCGACTGTAGGTGCGGGTGAGAATCCACCTGAACTGGGCAGGCCTCGCTAATGCAGGCAGTGGGGCCGCCTTTCTGGCATCTTGGTTGTTGGGAAGTTAGAGGTGAGAGTCTGGAAGCAGAGGCTCCAGTAACACGCCTGCAGCCAGCACGTAAGAACCATGAGCCCAGCTGCACAAAGGGCTCTGAGGAGGGGCGTGTGCCTGCGGCGGAGGGCCGACGGGGCGGCAGCTCCCTGGGGAGGGCACCCGAGACAGGAGGACAGCAGGAGGAGCGCAGCGCGTGTTCAGGAAAGAGCCGATTTTTAATCACTCAATGAACAGCTTTTTGCCACATCCTCCTCTAGATCCGGCAGATGGAGTACACATCAGACACGGCCCTGCCCCCTGGATGCTAACAGAGGGTGACAGTGACACAGCAGGGACGGTGATGGGGATCCAAAGTACACTGGGGACCTGAAAAGGAGGGGTGACGGTTTAACTGGGAGGACAGAGGAAGATCACAGAAGGGACTGAGCTAAGACTTAAAGGATGCCCTCTGTCAGGCGGATGGAACAGGACAGGGTGGGGACTGGGACTGCTCCAGGCAATCGGAGCAGTGACAAGCAAAGACTTAGGGGCATCAAATACTCTATTAAGTACAAGAAATCTTAGGTAAGTGGCAAGGTTGGATCACGGCGTCTGGGGGGCGTGGTGTTCAGAGGACCGGGATCATGCAAAGCCAGACTAAGACTAAGGAGCTTGGACTTAATACTGTGGCGATGGCAGGGTGGGTGATGGGAGAAGACACGGCCGTTCTAGTTTTGAATGATACAGGAAAAGAGGCCCACTGACCCCACAGAGAACATTACCGTGTACAGAGAGGAGCGGCTGCCCCTTTCGCTGGGTGCCAGGAGCCACCGACAGCTCCAGGAGCAGAGGAAGGAGAAGGAAGGGGTTGGGCCTGCCAGGGCACTCAGCAGGGTCAGATACCTTGGCGAGGTGCTGATACTTGCGCTCTGGAATCACTGGCTTCCAGGGGATGCTGCCCATGTCCGATGGAGGAGGAGTCATGGGCGTAGGGTCCTCGAGGGCATCATCATAGCTGAATGCCCGGCGGTACATCCCGATGGGCAGGGACATCTTGCCTAGAGGCCCACTAGGCTCAAGAGCTAAGAACAGAGACACCAGTCAGGATGGGTTCAGCAGCTGAACATACTGGTAGCTTTAAATTAACTCGTCTGTAGGCAGGAAGGCTCTAAAACACCTCTTCTGGGACAAAGCAATAGCAGCTGGTTCTGGAAGAGAGAACCCGGGCAAGGGAAGGACACCAGACAAAGCCCTTCCTCTCAGCCTGCCGCTGTGGATGCTCCACTTCACCCACACAGCGGCCCTAACCCATCTTTATGGACTAGGGAACAAACAACTCAATTTACCTGAGCCAGGTCACATAACTTCAAAGTGCACTAAGGAATCAAAACCCAAACCCACCTATTTCAGAGCTCGTATTCTTTAGGCCACAGAAGCTGCCCCGTGGCAATCCCAAGCACCTCAACTCAGGTGAAACTGAGGATATGAAATCTGAGGAATCCCCTGGCAGTCCAGTGATTAGGACTCGGCGCTTTCACTGCTGAGGCCCCGGGTTCAATTCAGGGTCAGGGAACTAAGATTCCACAAGCCTCATGGCCCGCCCCTGCCCCCAAAAAATCATAAAGTTTTGTTCCCACGTTATATTATGGATGAGTAAATGAAGGCTTAGAGGAGGCAAATCCTGTCTTTCCTACCTCACCTCAGAAAACAAGAGCAATATGACATGCTGGACTCACTGGATGTCCAGCAGCATCCAAAACAGTTTCAAATATTCTTTATGACTCAAAAGAGCAGAGGCAATTTCCATCCAGAAACTACTGACAATCACAAAGCACTGCCGGCTGACCCTGCTATTCCTGTCCACTGGAACGCCCCACTGTGACTGCCCACCTCAGGAGTTCAGCTCTGCCAGACCAAGGAGCAAAGTTCACTGCTTGCAGATCCTTTCAAACCAGGACTAATGCCTGAGCCTGCCTTCAAGCTGACATTCTCCTTTTGCTATAATTACACAATCACTCTCTCCAAGACGTCAACCAGTATGGCAGTTAAGTCCCAAACTAGCAAAGACATTCTATGTAAACAGAGCGGGACCAGCAGTTACCCTTATTATTATGATTTACAACAATTACCAACAAATCCACAGAAAGAAAGTAGTCGCCTGCAGCTGGGTGGAGGGAGGAGCCACAGCAGGGATTAAGGCATGACTACTAAAGGGACAAGGCTTCCTTTTGGGAGGAAGATATTCTGGAATTAGACAGTGGTGATGGTTGCACAACTTTGTCACTACACTAAAAATCTCTACTGACCTGTTCATTTTAAAATGGCTGAATTGTATGGTATGTGGATTATCTCAATCAAAACAAACACATAACCAAATAACAATTACCAAGTACCCTTCCTTGTAAGCACTTACACCCCTCATCTTTTCTAATCCTCATTAAGTAGATATTCTTCCCCTTTTCCAGCTTGGGAAACTGAGGCATGGATCTTAAACTAAACAACACCCCACTAGCAAGTGTGAGGTGAAATCAGCCAGCACTCACACCCTCCATGCAACCCTCCATGCTCCCCACCCTACAAGCAGTAACCTGGTGCATGCAACCCTGGGGCCCAGATGCCCACAGGGAGTTTACAGTCATCACAACCACAATGAAAGACAAACGGAAGCACAAGCTGACGAAGTCTGAGACTCAAGACGGATCTGTATCGAAAGACAGAGGGGAGACTCCTATCCCTCCACTTAATTTGGGAGCAATTTCACAAACATCTTAAAGACATCCCAATAACCTTCCTAAAAATAATAAAGTCAGGTAGTATTTATGAGGAAATATATTCCCTAGTGGTTCAGCTGGAAAAGAATCCACCTGCAAGGTGGGAGACCTGGGTTGGATCCCTGTGTTGGGAATATCCTCTGGAATAGGGAATGGCTACCCGCCCCAGTATTCTGGCCTGGAGAATTCCATGCACTGTCGCAGAGTCAGACATGACTGAGCTACTTTCACACATATTCCCATAAATAGAAAACAAAAATGTTTCTGGGCAGTAAGTGACTATTCAGTATTAACTTTTGACTCTCATTTATTTTATGTTTGATCTTCACAGTAACCCTGAGAGGCACTATCACCTACACTGAGAATCAAAAATTGACTCAGGGACTTCCCCGGTGGTTCAGTGGTGAAGAACCCACCGTCCAGTGCGGGGGACACGGGTTCAATCCCCAGCCAGGAACTAAGGTCCCACACGTGACGGGGCAACTAAGCCTGTGCGCCATAACTAGAGAGCCCGGGCCGCAACTGCTGAGCCAGCGTGCTCTGGAGCCCATGCATGGCACAAGGCAGGCCTGCAGGGGCCGCAACGGGAGAAAGAAGCCAGCGCACCACAAAGACCCCGTGCAGCCAGAATGATGAAAAACAAATTTAAAAATTTTTTTTTAAAAGTTGAGTGATTCAGATTTTAAAAATCACTAACCCTTCCCACTAAAACAGTCCAAGGAAGGATCAATGACTTCACTAACCCAGAAATTACCACCCTGTAAAGAACCCAGGACTCACTAAATGTTGCAGTGAGTATTCTCATAACTAAGTTCAAGTTGCCTTGAAATCAGTCTTTTTTGCTTTGACTTTCATTCCTCCCAACCTCCTACCTCCTCCTCACAAATAAAAGCAGTGAGTTTAGTCATTTTGGTACAAGAACTACTCTGAATTTTGATTTGATACATAGGAAAGTGACAAATTTGTCATACCCTCAAGGGCAATAAGGGTGCTCTTTCAAGTTAGATTTTGGGTTCACACCCTGGGTGGGTTAATAAGATAATAAGGTAAGATTTAATGTGATAATAAGATAATATTAATCAGTTAATAGGATTATATTAATAAGATAATAGATTGGCATCATTTAAAATATTAAGTCTAAATAGCAGAGAGTAACTATTTACATATGGTTCAGAAAAAGTGGTTTCTGTCTAGTTTAAAACCTTAAAGGGTAAAACATAACTTTACCAAAAAGAACTAAGTTTACCAGGCACTTCTGGTTGTCTTGAAGCCATTGAGACTGGGATCCAGGTGTTTTTCCTACACAGATTTTGAGCCGAGTCCCCGCCACCTAATAAAAATAACAAAGGGTATTTTCTCACAGCGAACACCAAAGACTAGCTCCAATGCTGTTCTTTCAACAGGCACAGAGTTTCATGGCTTCACCATGTAAAAGAGCCAACAAGCAACAAACATGCCAAGGGAGCAAACAAGGAAAACGTCAGAGGACTCGGCGTGTCACTGATCTCAACACCCACAACAGGACAGACACCAGGCACAGTGAAAGGGTCCCCTTACCAGAGAGGTGATGTGACGATTATGCCGACAGACAGGTATCAATGAGCAACATTGTCCAGCTGCTGCAAATTAGCAAAACTGCTCAGGAAGAGTCCAGCCATTCCAGAGGTTCTGAGAACAACAAACAACCAGCTTGGCACAGCCCTGCAGAGTCTGCCAAACATCTCCCTGTATTTCATGTTTTTGCCATAACAACCTAGAAAGAGATACTATACTCATTACATTTTTCAGTTAAGTTAGGGCTCAGGGTCAAAATAACCTGACCCGCAGCAAGGGGCTACGTTTGTTGATCAAGTCAAAAAATTCATTCCTTGTTGCTAGTACTGATACTCAGACAACCCTTATCTTGTGTTTTAACCCTTGGAGCAATCCTGCAAAGTAGGCATTGTTTACTCCCACTTTAGAAGAAAGAAACTAAAAAGGAGAAGTGACTTGTCCAAGGTCACAGATAAGCGGCCCATCTGTAAGGCCGATTTCAGCCCCATTTTACCGAGGAGTTCAAACAAAGCTCTGAGGAAGCCGTTATTTGCTTTTCGACTTGCTGTACTGCCCCCCTCTATCCTGATGAAGCTCAGAGGGCAAACTCGTAGTAAAGAGCATCGCGGAAGCCAAAGTTCGTCAACCCCGGAGACCAGGGAGCGTTCCGACAAGGACACCTCCCCTTTCGCTTCCCGGGGCCGGCCCTTCCCCCTCCCCCGCAGAGCTCCGACTTCTCCTTTACCAGAGAAGACAACGCCACTAGGACGTGAACGGCCTGCGCTGACTCAACCGCCTCTTCCACCCAGCGAAGCTAAGAAAGATTGCGGAGATCAGGGGCAGGGGCTGGCTAAAGATGAAGGTTCCCCGGGGCAAGGCAGGTGGGAGGCTGGGGAGCTGGACGCGAGGATGCGTGGTCCAGGACTAGGCCGGCCTAATAGAGGCGAAGCCCGGTGCCCGGGCTGCGGGGCCGTCATCCCTGAGAAACGCCGCGGCGGGAGGACCCCCCGAGGAGGCGGAGCGAAAGCTGCGCGGTGCGGCCGGCCAAGCTCTGAACCTGAGTAAGCCAGCCTGAGTGAGGGCACCACGAGGCCCCAGGCCCCTCCTAAAAGCGGAGCCCGAGCCCCCGGAGGGCCCGGCCCGGCTCCTCTAGTTACCTTTCCGTCCGCCGCCGCGGAGCTGCCTGCGGCCCGAGCTCCGGGACTAAAGAGGCTCCAAAGACCCACGTCTCTCGAAAGGTTGTTGTGCAGTCCGGATCCAAGCCATGGTGTGAGCGGCGCTGTGCCCGAAGCGACACAGAAGGCCCCAGACGCTAATCTGGGAGGGAGAACAGGATACCAGCGGCCGGCAGCCTCCCTGATAAACTCTCCCGAGGCTGCGTCACTTCAAGCGAGACCTGGCAGGGTGAAGGCGGGGCTCGGAGCATACTGGAAGTTGTAGTCCACAATCCGGCGAGTCCCAGGACATTACGGGCACTGAGGATCCTGGGGCCAGAGCTTCGTGTGTCGAACCCGCCAGCTCCCAGAAGAAAAGCACCTCTTGACCAGCATTCTATGCCTGGGCCTGTGACAGGCTGAGGGCAGATTGAGATAGCACGGTAAACGGAGACTCTCAAACCTTTTTCATCTAGGGAAGATGAAGTTCAGAGAGATGTGAAGGCACTTTGACTAAGAGGTGAAGTGAGCAGGGACCCTCTTCCAGGAACTGCTGGGTTCATATTAGTAGCAGGGTTCACACTTGTAAGCAGGTCCAAAACGGAAGCAAGCAGCACCTGCCTCCTCTAGGTGGTGGTGGTGGTGTTCAGTCGCTAAGTTGTGTCCAACTCTTTGGGACAGCATAGACTACAGCCAGTGAAGATCCCGTCTTTTGCTATTTGCTCAAATTCATGCCCATTGAGCTGGTGATGTTATCTAATCATCTCACCCTCTGCAACCCCTCTTTTCGCCTTCAATCACTGCCAGCATCAGGGTCTATTCCAATGAGTTAGATCTTCCCAACAGGTAGCCAAAGTATTGGAGCTTCAGCATCAGTCCTTCCAGTAAGTATTCAAGGTCGATTTCCTTTAGGATTGACTAGTTTGATCCTGCAGTCCAAGAGACTCTCAAGAGTCTTCTCCAGCACCACAGTTTGAAAGGACCAGTTCTTCCTTGCTCAGCCTTCTTTATGGTCCAACTCTCACATCCATACATGACTACTGGAAAAACCATAACTTTGACTCTTTTGACCTTTGTCAGCAAAGTGATGTCTCTGCTTTTTAAAAATGCTGTATGGTTTCCATACAGTACCAATAAAGAAGGTTCAGCATCCTAAGTGTTCAGCAGCCTTTTCTTCTATGAAATGCCTATTTACTGTTTGGTTTATTTTTCTCTTACAGTGTTTATGTTTTACTTACTGATGTATATATACTTTAGATACTTATCTTTTAGATCATAAATAACTTATCCTACCTTGTGATATGTCTCTCATTATTTTTAGGGTATCTTGCAAAGAGCATTAACTCTTAATTTTATTTTATTTTATTTTATTTTTAACTCTTAATTTTAATGTAGTCAAATATATCAATCTTTTTCTTTATGGTCTTCTTAATTTATGCCTCTGATGTGCTAGCAATAATTGCATTTATGATATTCTGTGCCCTCTGATACTTGAATTCATTCCTATGGGCATATTATTTCTCCTGATTGAAAGGGACAGAGTAAAGGGACAAAGTAGGTGATTAAACTGTTAGCCTCACTAGAGGACCGTAAGTAAAGAAAGTATGGAAGACCCCGTAAGTTAACAATCACTGAATAAAGCAGGTTGGCTTACCCACAAAGCCAAGCAGGCTTGCTTGGCAACAACACCATCCAACAACAGCATGAGACATGCCCCCAAACAATGAAACAGGGGTGGCAGGAGGCCCACATCCTGCCCAGGGAGCTCAGGAAGTTAATGATCCCTAGGACGTGCTCTCGGGATACATAAAAAACAGTAATTTATGGAAAGAGGACATTTCCAAATGAAAGGCCCTCACTGCACTGAGGCCTGAAATAATTGCTCCATAGTGCCATGACAGTGCTGGCTTGACCAAGTAGGGACAAGAAGACTCCCTGCCCAGCCTGGGAGGAGCTGATGAGACAGCTGAGAAAGAGGAAGAAGGCGGTCTTTCCCTTCTCACTTTTCCTTTCCGGGCCTGGCACCCTCTCGCCTGCCCACAGCCCTTCCAAGCATCCTGTTCTAATGAATCACTTCTGATCCATCACTTTGCCTCTCACTGGACTCTTCCTGCCCTGAGACACAAAGGACCCGAGTTCCCGGGAGCACCTGAGGCGCCACCTAGAGGTTACAGAGCGACATGTGCGCGCTATGTCCCTCCAGTCACGCCCAGCTCGCCGCGGCCCGCCAGGCTCCTCTGTCCACAGGCTTCTCCAGGCCAACGCCGGGGCGGGCTGCCACGCCCTCCTCCAGGGGATCTTCCTGACCCAGGGATTGAACCCGGGTCTCTTACGACTCCTGCACTGGCAGGCAGGTTCTCTACCCATAGAGCCACGCGGGAAGCCCTTCATAATTATATACCTTCCTTCATTTTAATCATCTTTCATACTGTATCTAGTACTCCAGTGCAAGGAATTCTGAGGCATGTTTTTAAAAAATTGATGCCTAATTGGGGATTACAGTCTATTTCTTGAAACTGCTAACTTCCAGACATATGGGGTGATATTGTACTTTAGAAAATACATTTTTAGTATACGTACTACTGAAGCAAGCATAGAAAATACATTTTTAAATCATGAAAAAGAGGCAACCTTTAATTACTTTGTCAAGGAGGAGAACTCATGCACTTTATAATCCCACAGGTCAAATATAATAAATCTTGATCTTACTTGGAGTTTACAGAAAAACACTCATTCATCTGTGACATTCGTGCTTTCTTTCTTTGCTGCCTTGTTTCAGGATTAAAGTTGGCTACCTGTGGTCCGGGATTTTGAAATGCCAAGCATTTTAACTGCCCCTATCTATGGCTATGAAACAAGTAAAATGAATTAGTATGAAGAACCTGATAGTTTTATCTGTTTTACATTGCATCAGGACGAGGTCTCTGTAACTTTTACCATAACGGCATGACAGTTCAGTACAGGGGCCCCTACATATGGCGTGTAAAGCCTGATGATCTGCGGTGGCGCTGATATAATAATAACAGAAATAAAGTGCATAGTAAAGGTAACGAGCTCGAATCACCCTGTAACCATCCCCTCCCCTCGCCCCGCTCCCCCCCATCCCCTGCCCCAGGAAAAACTGTCCCCAGTGCCAGAAAGCTTGGGACCACTGCTCTAGAGCAGGTGCCCAAACTCACTGCCCTGGGGGTCAGAATACAGCCACCGGAAGGATCCCCTCTCAGTCAAAGCCAGACTGCAAGAAGAAAAACCTTGCTCCAATGATTTTCTAGGATGTTAGTGGAAATTTTCAAATTCTGTTTGGGAGTATTTATAATTCAAAGTTGGGGCTTCTCTGGTAGCTCAGCAGGAAAAGAATCTGCCTGCAATGCAGGCAACATGGGTTCGATCCCCGGGTGGGGAAGATCCCCTGTTGAAGGGAATGGTAACCCACTGCCGTATTCTTGCCTGGGAAGTCCCATGGACAGAGGAGCCTGGCGGGCTACAGTCCATGGGGTCACTAAGAATCAGACACGACTCACCCACTAAACAACAACAACAAATTGGAAAGACAAGTAATAAAGATGCTTCAGTCAATCCTGATAACTAATTTGACCATGTAGCACACAAATCAGGAGGGAAAGCAATGCTCTTTCACAGATTGTTAGAAGAAAGTAATCTGAGTTGCCCCAAAACACTCAGGCTAACACATATATGAAATACAACATTTCTAAACCAAAGGGGATCTTTCAATGTATTAATTTCAGTGAAACAAATTACCAACAGAAACTCGGGCTTTCTATGCAGTTTTTTTAGCTTAAAAATAGTCTAGTAGTCCAAAATAACATAGGTATGTTTGTTTAAAATTTCATGTTGGTTGGTGTGTAACAACCAACTGTTTGACAAACCACCTTAGGAAGCAATTCTGTGTTTAGCTGTAGGTGAGCAATAGACACAGCTCAGCATCATCTACTGTTCTCTGCAAGGGGCGAGATGTCTCTGCTCAAACCTTGGCCCTGCCACTCTTCCTGGGATGCCTTGAGCAAGTTCCTACTGCTTCTATGACTCAGTTTCTCCTTTTGCAAAACGATGGAATCTTGTCTTTGTAAGGGAACTTAAGGGAGTTAGAGAAGGTGAGGTTCAGAAAAAGAACCAGCCTGGCAATTTACAGGAACAGATCACTTTTAATGAGGCAAGAAGGGGCAGCTGACAGATCAGTGGGCTGCTATGCTAAGTCAGGAAGAGGGCAGGTATATATAAAAACACACATGTGTGGAGAGACGTCGTTTTGAAGGGTCTGTTTTTCCTCATGATTATTTTGATTAGTTAGCTTTCAGCAACCGGGGTAAGGAATTCCTGAGACTGGGGTCTGCTGGGAGGTGAACGTACTCAATCTTAATGTCCATTCCTTTCTTCGGGGGAGAAAGTTCTTTCTTCTGTATAGAATGGTGGGGAGGACCTAGAGGGGACTTTTAGCCCCAGGCTATTTTGAGCCGTGTAGCTTAAGTGTGTTAACATGGGCCAAGTTTTAGAACCAGGATAGCATATCATGGGGAAAATACACAAAGGTTTGTTAAATGAAAATACTTGACCATATTCTTGACAAGTATACTAGCCCAAGGGTAGGACTTCATTGCACAGGACACTGGGAACCGAGAGGCAGAGAGGAGACAGGCAAGTTGAGACCAGCCTGGTGGTCTCAGGGTGAAGATGAGGGAGCAGAGATCTTCCTTGTGGAATGCTGACGGGGCCACCTTCCCACCCAAATCCAGGGCAGCTCAGAGATCCCCACACAGAGCTCCCCAAATACCACGGAACCATAGTATCCATGTGTCATACCAGCTGCTTCTGTCTGACCTGACAGTTTTTCTCAGGAGAACTTTGACCTGCAGGTCTCTCTTGCGTGGAATTGTTGTTTTCTGATTGTTCACTCACTTCTGATCACTAAGAAAAAGTAAATGAAAAATGTAAACACAGTAATACCATATATCCCAAGTAACTTAACCCTGTGACTTTCCTGCTCTCTCCCTACATCTTACTCTCTTTCAAAGCCAGACTTACTGGAAAAACCATTGCTTTCCTGGAAATTTTTCTTTCTTTCCTTTTTTTTTTTCTTTTTTAACCACTCTTTAATCCTTCATCTGACTTCCTCAGAATGCTTTACTGACGTCTTCTCAGCCTGGTGTTCAATGAGTAAATCAACTGTACCTTTGACAGTTCTTAGCACTGCAGACCTCTCTGGAGCAGGTAACCCTGGGGCCATCCACTCCTGCTCAAGAGGACTAGAAATTCTTAGACCTGGATTCTTCCCCCCTTACTCTTACTTCCTTGAAAAACAGTAAGACGTGTTAATATATACACATCCTCAGTAACTCTGCGAACATCTCTGCTCCCAAGGTTTCATTATCACATCTTCCGAAATCATTACCCAGGTTGCCTCCAAAAGCCTCAACTTCCTTACTCAAGTTTTCCGACAAATTTCTAACACAACTTGTGCTAAATGGAAGCAATCAGTTTTCCATACAACTCAGCTGCTTACATGCCTGTAATTTACTTTGAAATACTTCAATATACATACAAGACGTCTCGGCAGGCACGTGTGTGTGTGTGTGTGCATGCACGCATCTTAGGTGAAGCTAACACACGCTGCCAATGATAAATGCACTCTGAGCTTCTCTGCAGTGTTCTGCCAGAAAGGACCACACTCCAGAGATGGTACCGCCGCCCTGCTGGCTCCTGCCTCTCTCATCAACCACCCATGCTGGGAGCCGGGCGCTGTTTCCAACACAGGACCTGAGGGTTACGCTCAGTTATGACCAGTCCATCCGCACCCCCGCTCTGCCTGCCAACGGGAAGCTCCAGCCCCACCGCCTGTCTGTGCCCCTCCG